TACTATCAGTGTAGCAGAATGAAATATGACCGGACTGTTAGTAATGACCTTGTCTGGATGCTCCGGTTTTTGACACCATAATCCAGCGCCTAGGTTCACCTGTGCAGCTCCTCTTACTTCATAGTTGAAGATCTCGTCGGTGTAAGTCGTGTGATGGTTATTTTACTTGTGTTCGTAACTTATAAAATGTATTTTATTATACTAACTTCTGGACGTAATAACTTTTTTGCCAATTTTGAGTTAGTATTCATTTTGGTCCGCCACAATAATCTGACGAGACGCGTGTTCATTCTGATTATTGTATTGCTTATTTTGGAGCAACACAGTGGTTTATTTTTCATGTAATATACTCCCCAACTAAACTTATGGAAATGGACTCTCCTCCAGCACATAAGCTTAATTCATCATCGAATACTGCGGAAAATATTTTAAGTTCAGTTAATGCTATCTCGGAATTCAGACTCCCAACATACGGAGCTAATAATCCGAGGGTCTGGTTTTCTCAGCTAGAGGCTTTATTCATGGCTAGAGGCATACGCTCACAGGCAACAAATTATCTTTATGTGATCGGCACATTCCCTACTGAAATCACTGCTGAGGTTGGGGACTAGTTGACCAAGTGCCTGAGACTGAACAACATGATAAGATTAAAAAACAGCTGTAATCCAACGCACATCGGTCTCAGATGAAAAAAGACTACAACAATTGTCAACGTCTTGCGAGTTGGAAGACAAAAGACCATCACAGCGGTTAAGACCCATGAAACAGTTAGCGGGTTCATAGAGGCTAGATGAAGCGCTACTAAAAGAAACGTGGTTTCAACATGTACCACATAGTGTAAGACGAATTCTTAGCGTATCAGGAAACTAAGTTAACCTCTATGATTTAGTGGACATGGCCTAAAAAATGATGTAAATTTACCATGATAGCTGTAGAGTAAACTATGTACAACCCTCTGGAACAACAGGTACAAGTTGTTAAGCTTCTTTCCAACTGCAGTTAACGCTTCTGAATAACGAACGAGCTGCATTGCAAACAACAGTTGCATCAGTTCAAACTAGACAACTCAGATTCTCTTCCAGACGGAGATCTTCTTTTAGGCAGCGGTCTCGTTCACCTAAACAAACCTCCGAAGTCTGTTGGTGTCATAAAAAAGACGGCATTAAGGCACGGCTTTGCACGCGTTCCTTCACATTCCCTTCAAATAACATGGAGGGCCGGGGAAACTGCCCGGCCAGACAGTGATGGCGACGCCTTCTCCTGGTTACTACTCAAGCCGTCTCTTCCACATCCGAGACCGTTTTAGTCGATACTGGAGCAAAAATCAACATTCTCACGTTATATCTCTCACCACGACGGCACACTGGGTGTACCAAATTGTTACTCATCACGGCCAATGAAACGGTGATTAAAGCTTACGGGAAACAATCGTTAATCTTAAGCCACGGCCTCCGTAGAAGATTCACATCGGTGTTTATAGTAGCTCAAGTCAAATAACTGATTCTCGGGACTGACTTCCTAAGCGCGCACGACCTATTAATAGACGAGAGTTAAAATAAACCAATTGACAAGAATACAAGTTTACAGGTTAACGGCACAACTACCTCTAATTACGAATGATAAAACCAGCGAATAAAATTTTCACTGATAACTTGTAGAAATATGAGTGCATAACTAAAGTGGGTTATCGTAACGAATGCACCACTCACTGTATACAACACAACATTACTACCACAGGTCCTAGGCCAAGAAGACTGCCTCTACACAAACTAACAATCACCAAACGAGACTTTGAGCACATGATGCAACTAGGCATCATACGGCAGTCTAGTAGTCCATGCGCTTCACCGCTACACATGGTTACAAAGAAAGATCAAGATTGACACCCATGTGGAGATTGCCAACGCCTAAATAATCTGACCACCCGATATAGGTATCCTATTTCTCAACTACACAACTTTTCTCTGAATGTACATGGAAAATGGATCTTTTCGAAGCGAGACCTTGCTAGAGCATACCATCATTAAGCGAAATCGATGATATCTAACGCTACTATGTTAAAGCATCTAAACACTGACCCTACAACGCATTTCATCCCCTGCACCGACGTTTCCCAGAAAGCGGTAGGGGCAGTATTACAACAGCGCGTAAATGATAAGACTATGCATATAGCGTTTCTTCCAAACGACTATCACCAGCACAAGAACGTCAAAGCACTTTCGGACGTGCACTTCTAGCTATGTGTTTAGCTGTGAAACATTTCAACCCCCTATTACAGGGTCGTGATTTCACTATAATGACTGACCATAAACCTCTTTGCTACTTCCTTAACACGTCTTACGAAAAGCATTCTCCACGTAGAGCAAGACAATTGGATTACATTTCTCAACTCACTACAGGCATCTAGTTCATCAAAAGCTACTCCATCAATGTCGCAGACGCCATATCTAGAAAGAATACCAACTAGATGGTACGTAACCACAACAGTAGTCTCGAAACTTTAGCTAAACTACAAGTAGATGATGCAGATTAGAAAAGTTGCAAAGAAAAGTCTAACATGAATCTCAAATCTGTGTCATCTATGTTTATGGACTGTTGCAACATTCACTTTACCTTCAACGTTCTGTTATACTACTGGTGCCATATCAACCTCACGGGAATTATTTTTTACCTATAATTGTGGATTCTGGTATCAAACTGAACAGAACACGCACAAGCCAGCTGATCTAAGCACCATCCCTTGACTTTTTTTATTTGTGTTCATAACTTATAAGCTGTATATTATTATATTAACTTTTGGACGTAGTAACTTTGGAGTTATTATTCATTTTGGTCCGCCAAACTATAAGTTGTTTGTAACTATTCGCGGGGCAAACTAGTTTGTATCACGTAGGATTGTCTGGATAATGGAATCCAAGTTATCGTCCATATCACATTGAGCATAGGGTTTTAGTAAACCTGCTGTAGATTGTCCTACAAAGGTGACACGTCAAGACACTTGAAATTTCAACGCTAACTGGCAATAGGATGTTCTGACCCAGTTTTACTAATAAAACAGAAGGCTGTGATAGAGTGCTTGAGACTGGTATTATCGAAGATCATCTTTTTCATCTTACCGAGCGTCTTTGGTTGCTTATTTACCTGATTACTTATTTCTTTTAAGTTTGCTAACAGTTCCTTCCATAAGCTTCTCAGAAGACTAGTTATACTGCTCAGTATTCATACTGAATAGTATACGGAATAAGTGCAGATTCTGATCAAATGGGTATGTCCAACTGACCATTGTTAAGGTCGCGAGAATGAAATAACACCAATGATCTGCCCATTTCGGCGATTTATGTGGTAGTTTTCCTTTTTTCGGTGATTTTAACAGCTTACATTCCTTGTTTACCTCCTAAATGAAAATTATATTCTACGATCCACCAATCTTGAATAATTTTCACTTTCCAGACAGCTTCTGTTCAATGTGTATGATATGTCCATTTATTACTTTTGAAAGTAACACTGTCTACAAACACATTCCCTTTACACACGTTTCAAGTCAGTGAGACATGATGACATATTTCTCTCGGAAACCTCAAGTAAAGGCTTGTTATAGAAAGTTAAAATATACAAACATTCAGTTCATAAATACTTCGAACGGTCATCTTTGCGACGGGAGAAAATCGAAGTATTTGACTTATAGTAAACTGGCTGTGAAACGTGCCCTTTATAATTAAAATTAGTCATATTTGTCATCCACAGCCCTTGAATTTCGTTTAAAACCTCCAAATACTGGCATCACTCTTGCTCATCAGTTTACTGCTTTGTTTTCAGGATTCAATATTTAAGATTTGTGACGAATTGTTTTTTGAGGAAACTATTATGATAGGTTTGCTTTGGTTGACTCATGATTTTTATTTGGGCTTACGTAATTCGGAATTGTAGATCTGTCAACTATTTGTCTTCTGAGTGTCCATGGGTCCGGAATTCACGGTTATTCAGTTTGTGACACACGCTTTGGTAGACTGCCAACTTTACTACGACCACTTCTGACATCTCAATTGCATCCACACACAACGCGATCGCCGAACTACAACAGGGCAATTAGGATCTCCACTAATATGACTATCTCAGTTGACAAAACTATCATAATCACTAACTGGAGGAGGCTACTCGCATAAAATTCAGACTCGTTCGTTCTAAGGCCTTCGTCTTGATATTATTAAAAGTTGGTTTGAAATACATCTAGTCTGTTTCGCTCATTTTTAAGATAGAGAGAACGGATTGTTTCGGATTTCCAAACTGTTGATAATCCAATACCTTATAAACCAAACCAAGTGAGTTTACGAGAATGATACCTACTTACCACTATCATCTCAGATTATAAATCATGAATATAAATGTTGCCATATTTGCACAAGCTTTTCTAGCCGTTAAAATTTGAGTGAAAAAGAGTTATGGGCAGATGTAACTCATAAAGTTGTGCTAATTTAGCTGACCAATGTGACCCTGAATTTACGGATCAGACCTATAATGTGTAGACAACATGACTACATTTTTTAAGCAAACAGAATTGCTTATATTTTAATACGTCGCGTAGTTTGTCGCAAACTACTCAATCGCAAAATAGTCATTTTTTGAAGAGATTTATTGGTTCTGGTTATTACTAAATTTTTCAAAAGATGTTGGAGTAAACAAAATGGTGAAAGCTTTCAGCAATTCTAAGTCAAGAAGATGCAACAATTGTTGGGTTTTTTTCCACCGATAATATGTGTAATTGTCCTCTGTGGATATTTAAATAAGAACAAAGTCTAAGCATACGTTGACTTCCAACATGGAATTACTGAACTACTACTGATTGATACAGAAAATTGTTACACTGTACAGTTACCGGTGGAAGTCAAACTAGCCTGTCAGTTTCAATGATATTTCAATAAAACATATACAAGGAATGTCAAAATATACACTGACGTAGGAAAGAAATTTCAGTATGAACAGTTTCATCTCATTTAAATAGGTCATGATTGCTGATCGTAGTCTCCATTAGCAGTTACTGGTGTAATTTGAGACGGCTGATTTAATCTACGCAGTACTCTTAAAGCACGTTTAGCAGCTAAGCTTTTGGCCAATCGATAATTTCGTCCAACACCATAAAATCGACCTTTACCTAATACATGGGCACAAACTGAAATTCTTCCGTCCACCATTCGTCGAGCTCTCCTACACAAACAAATAAAAGTCATAAAATGTTTTTTAGTTAGTCTTATGAAAAAAATTACATGAAAATAATCTCACAGTTTACTATCAAATTATCGTCACGTATTGAACTGGAACTTTAGATGTACTGTGTTGTATAAAAAAGTTTATTTATTGATTACTTCATAGAGATGTAATTGAACACTAGTACTCAGCTTGAGGGTCATAGATAGTCTTACGAGGGGAGATGAGTGGGTTGTCATTAATTAGAGTTGATAACCTTTCTATAAGAAAACAACCCAACTGTAATACACTTAATCAACTGGTTCAAAACTTTTGTCCAGAGCCATCTATTGATTGCTTTTGACCGTCTAAAAAAACAATACATGCAAACCTTCATGCTTGTAGACATGCTGAATTATGTTTTTAGATATTACAACCTAAAAAAACTGAACTTTTAAACCAGGTCCTACGACAATTTGTTTATGAAATATCTTGTGTACAGTACATAGCGTTTGATAAAATGGTAGTTAACGTAAAATATCTGATAGTGTGTTGGATAATGCCATGATTCTGTACACAATCAATCATTTAGGGATAGTGTGAACGTAATGAGTTTTGGAAATCTTCAATGCATAGAGAGTCGCAACAACAGATTAATGTGTTTAAGTGCTAAGCCAGTGCATTACTATTGCGACATATTTTGGAAAAATTCCGCTTACTTTAAATTGGGAAGCTAAATATCAATGTTTTTCTACACAAATGTACGGAAACACATAATATCTTAGTCTAGAAAATGATTCCACAACTGGTTAATGACTTAATAATTTAACTGTATACAAAGTATGGTACCTATGAACATGTAAAAAATGTCTACTACTTCTCACAACTTACTCGAATTTTGTTCCTTCTGGTTCCAGTTCTAATAATTGTCTAACTGGTGATTTCGGGATACAAGCAGTATATCGTTCTATAAATAGCAAAGAATAAAATGAAGTTTGAAAAAACCACAGGGATATTTTTAAAGTTAAATTTAATTTTAGTAATTTGATTGGATGACCACAGTAAGATACGAGATGAGTATTTCAGTATGAATGAAGTTGTATTGAAAATTAAGTTCTTTATAAATGTTTGATGTAGAACTATCATAATATCTTGATGGAACTGATGTTACGGTCTCGGATTATCCGACTTCACAGCCTAAGACATTACCATTAAGCTATTCAGGTAATGACTGACTTCCTGCAGTGTTCTTACACTAACACTTGATTGATCTCAGACAGTAGTGACTAAAATCACTTCCGTCTAGTATTTTGGTGCTTATTTCCATTTCTTTGAAAATAAATTGTTACTGAATACATTCAACGTTCTTTTTAATGAACAAACTTTATTACAAGGATAGTTTTAATTAGGTACCCATCTTATTACTATAAGTTAATTTTCGTTATTAAAATTAAAATTCAGAGAAAAAGCTGTTGAAATGAAAAACACTGGACATAGACATTTTCGAATTTGAAATTTGGAGTTTTTTAAATGTGATCTGTTTATTTTAAAAATAGAAACCAGTATTTCACAACGATACAGTAAACAACTCACAGTTAGGTCAATGGGATCAGATGCTTTCTATTTCATTCAACTTCAATTTCAGCAACTGAATAGTATAGTTCGTAGCACTACCAATGCAGGGCAGCGGATTGACTACAGACGTAGTGATTACGAAGTTCGGCTACACGCAGTCTACATTAGACTACACTTATGTGAAGGTAAACAAAATTAACTAATTACTACTGAATTCATTTTACTGATCAACAGAGCTGCCAACAAAGGAGATGTATCTGACATTAAAAATTCAGTACATGAAATGATGAGGCAGATTTGCAACTCGTGTAGATGCTTTTATTTGGTGTTTTGTTCTCTAGATTACATGATTGTCAGGCTTTCATTGTCATTCTGAACACTAACAGCAACGCCTACTTCTTCTGTATGAAGAAAACATAGTACTACTAGAAACTACTGTATCTAACAACAAAACATATTTATATATTTGAGGATGATCATTGGAGTAGTAAAGAAAAATTCTATGGAGAGTATCAGTCCCATCAATATTGTATATATGCTTTGTTAAAGAGAGAGAGATAACTAAGATGATTATTGTGCCCTTAACCACTCAGTAATCAGACGAATAAAAAATTAATAAGTTATGGATAGTGGTCTGTCAATTAAAACAATATCGAGGCAATCAGCACAATATGCATATATGCCAGTAAGAGACTGATTAACTGCAGTCCTAAACATCACTGGAAAGACTCAAGTGAATTTAATCAATAAGTTAGCAATACATCACCATAATGAGATGATTATTACTATTTACAAATAACACAATAAACTAGTTTAACTAACCAATACGTTCTTTCATAATGGGATAGAATATTTGCCAAACAGTATCCAGACTGAAATTTGAATCAAGAAATATTGCACCAGCTAAAGATTCAAATATATCACTTAAAGCTTTAGGAATTTCTACATCGTCCGATAATCGATTAGTTGTCAAGTGACCAGTGTTGGTAGGAATTGTGTTGTTGGCATTGTTACTTTTGCCTGATTTCGACAGATGTTGCTCGTATGTTTGGTGTTGAGGTTTTGAGGATTGATTTTCAGACTAATTGATGGGTCAAATGAAATCAAAAACAAGAAATAAATGAATACTAAAGCAAATTCTAGACGACAAGAGAAAATTTACGTATTGTGTTAATACCAAGAGAATCAAACAAATGTCCTGCATTATTAACTCTTATTAGTGAATGATGATATCTAATGAAAAAGTCACAATTCGTCTTAGTATGGGGACTCTCCAAAAGTAAGCATATATAACCCCACTCATGGATCGGATCCAAGATTTTATGACCACCCAGGGACTACGTCTTTTCTAGACATAAGAAGTCAGTAAAACAGTGTTTACGTGATTGACGTATCTAACTTTTAAGAAGGAGATCGTACGTTTGAATGCGAAAGAAAACATTGAGTAATTGATAAACCAGATCAATTGTAAAGGCTGTTAGCATAGTTAAGCCAAAAACTTTATTCATCAGATGACTCCAAGAATCTGTAAACACGAATTTGTAATTAAAAGTCTTTATCAAAGCTCAATACATCTATATGTAAGTGACTGTAACTTAAGCACAAAGAAGTTCTATGAAGTCACGGATATCTATAAGATTTTACATTTTTGTCATTTAAATAAAGTAGAACTGAGAAAAAGAAAGGAAAATGAATTAGGATACATAAGGTTAATTGATAACTTCAAAAATTCATTTCTTTTCCTTATTTTTTAACCTCGTAATATTTACACACCACTTACAGAATTTTGAACAAATAAACCAGTTAATTCTTGAGTATCTTTTTCTTGCCATTTAGATTCACATTCTTTAGCATGATTTAATATTGATGCATGTTTTTCTTCTTCATCATCATTATACAAATCGTCTTCTTCGTCATCATTATCATTGTCTTTTTCTTTTACTTCTCCTTCTTCTTCACTAACGTCACCATGAACATGAGTTTGACAATGACGTTGTTTACTAATGCTGATAATAGATGGCGTATTTTGATTATTCACCATCATTGATGTTTTCGTAACGGGGTAAGAATTTGAAGAAGATAAGTTGGAACTTGTTAGATTATTTATAGTTTCTTCAGTAAATGTATCAACTAATTCAGGTTGTCGAATTTCAATTTCCTATTTACGCAAGGATTTATTTACAAGTGAAGATGAGAGGAGAGAAAAAAAGGGAAAAAGGCAAGTGTTAGAAATAAAAATATACATACAAATTGTTGAGATGGTTGAGATGATTCAGAGAACAATCCAACATCAACATACAAATTGTATTATATGTAGGAGGAAATTTGGTTGTTGCAACTCATTAGCCGGGTAGGCGTCTTTTACATGTCAATTTAAACGATCAAATGTCAAAACAGTTTAACAGAAATAGATACATCTATTCTATTGGAGGATTGTATAGGAAATAGAACCCGGACCGTGATGTTACCTCGATGTAGTGCATGTTACATTTAACACAATTCGATGAATCTCTTTGTAGTTACTTAAATAGTACAAAGAAATAGCGCGAAAATTCTTATTCAATTTATTCGAAGCTATCAAGCCAAACCTTGATAATGACAACAAGAAACCGGATAGTCCTAGCAGACACCACATTTCATATCCAATTCAAATGTCGCAATAATGTGATCTAGTAAGAACGAGTTTTAAAACTACCAATGTTTAATGTTTAAAAGACAGTAATCAAAGCATTAAATGGTTTGAAGACGTCTACAGGAAGCCCTGAACCATGGTTTTATGTTATTTGGGACTCGTTAGCCAATATTGTAGAAACTAATGCTCGCTGTATGATTCGAATAGACAGAATTCAATGAAGACTAACGGATTAGACTAACATTGGTTACTACTAAGAGATCAATCGGTTTTAAATACTCCAGAAATATAGGATGTGAATCGCGGCGCGGATAGCTTAGTGGTTAAGCCTAAGAATGGGAAGTTAGGTGACCCGTATTTGAATCCAGGATTGCAAATATACCTTGCTGACGAATGCCAACTAATACGATAAACATAGGTTCACACATCCCTTATGACCTTACCTGCAACCATCTAACGTATAAATGTAGGCGATTTTGAGTCACTCAGACTAGTGGGTATATTTTAACTTTAGTGATAAACGAATTCCATCAACACTAAAAGACTAGACAAACTTGACATTTGCCACCATTCAGTGATCGGACCAACTATAATCAATTACAGTACACTGTATATTTCTTAGAAATATATATTCATTCCCAATTACAGCTGGTAAAGCATAAATTAAATTAAATATAAACATTTATATATATATATTTATTTGTATTAATAATGACACTTACCTCATTTGTAATAAAATCTAGATCATCTTTAGCTACATCTTTTTGATAACGTACAAATACATCGATTGTATGCAACAATTGTGGTGATGAAGCACGAAAATATTTATGTAAACCAATTCGTACAGCTAATGCAGCAAATATATTATTATTTACTAAAGCTGATCTTAAATCAGTTAATACACCAGGTGAATGTTGTTTAGAATCTTCATATAGAAATCTTGTTATTACATAATCTAATACAGCATCACCTAAAAATTCTAAACGTTGATAACAATCTAAATCAGTTGAAAACATTAAGTTGGATTGATCAGATAAATTATTAGTTGTTGATAAAACACGTAGTTGATGATAAGATGGATGTGTAAAAGCCTATACAAGAAAGATAGATAGAAGGAAAACACGATACAGAAAGTAAATATAAGATTGTAAAAATTGTTTATTCTCATCAAAATCATGAACTGATCAATGTTAGGCAACTACTGAAAACTTGAAAGTACTGGAAGGCCGTTTCGTTCTAGTATGAGACTCTTTTGCAGTGAGTATTCACAACCATACTAGGACGAAATGGACGTCCAGTCTTTACAGGTTTTCAATGGTGGTCTAACATTAATCAATTCATGATCTCAATCAAAAACTTAACATCCACAACTCCATACTGATAATCAGATAAGTGTTTTTGAATAATTGTGCAGTTAATTTCTTTTCAATTATCTACAGTGATATTAATTTCCAGATGAAATAGTGTTATTTCAATCCGTCCATTCCAAATGCCCTGATACGGTCGATGGTGAGGACAGTCAGCTCTTCCTCTCAAAATGTTCTCTTATATGACCACGCGTATACAACCACTGCCACGGAAGTCCTACTCACTGCCTTCTCGTGGCGAGGGTGTTGTTTATGAAGTTGAGAGAACGAAAACCGAATGTCCGGTGCTTTAACCAAGTTGGTGGATACAGAGGATCCATCTACAGGAGTTGGAAAACCCTGACTCCAAACTAATGGTGCACGTGGGATACAGGATTCTGAGGAAACAAACAGAGTATGAACCTATTGTTGGTCACCGACTACCACGGGACTGCACCTCCGAACGTTGCTCCACTTCCTTGTGGATTAGACTTATTGATCAAAGGCTCGGGGAGTGGCCCCCTATGACAACCACCTGCTTCCGTTCGGACACCCGGGCAGTATACAAGCCCTCACAGAAATATAATGATAAAGTGTGGTACATATGTATTCGGTGCCTCCTTGTACCAATATTTATGTGTTTAAATAAATAAATAAGTGTAATGAAATACAAACAAGATACCATACACATATGGCTGTGATCAAGTTAAGCTAGGCGGATTGAAATAGATAAATTCAGTAGTTTGTTAAGAGTGAATTCGGAAAAAAGAAATTCGCAAGCTCAGGAAGAATAACAATTTCATTTGAAAAAAAGAGAGAAGTAATAGTTTAGTTAGCCCCTACTTATTACTACTACTCACCTGAATCAATAGACTAGGATCCTTGAAAGTATAATTTAACGAAGATTCCAATTCATCAAATCTCCAAACTAAACGTGCTTCATTTAAATTTGCTCTATTTTCATCGGTATCTAAGTAGTTGGATTTTGGTAAAGACCATGGAGCTCTAGTAGTTGGTTGACTATTATCTGTAGAAAAAAACAATTACTGTGTTTTAGAAAATCGAAATTTCGCAGAGAAGTGTATCGGGATGATGAAAAGTACGAAGCTGTGATGATTGGTAAAACAGTGATTATTAAAGTTGATATTAGATTGATATCATGAATGGTTCGATGTCAGACCACCACTGAAAACCTGGAAACACTGGACGGCTGTTTCGTCTTGGTATGGGACTCCTCATCAGTGCGCATCCACGACCCCGCATGCGTGACTCGAACCCAGGACCTTCGGTTCGAATCGGCCGTCCAGTGCTTCCAGGTTTTCAGTGGTGGTCTGACATCGATCCATTCATGACGTCAATCTAATATCAACTTTAATAATAGAATAGATGAAATGTGAGTAGCAATAGAATCCAGGAAGCACGTTTCATTCTATTTGGAACTCGTCAGCTGGATTTACTTTGGTAGTTAACAAGATATCCATCATACTTTGTAAAGTCAAGTCAATAACAGTCCCTACTAGAAATAGAACAGCCTTTATTTTAAAAAAAACACACATATATTACCTGATTTATGAAGACAATCGATTCCAAACCATTGCATTAAACGTAGAGCAGAGCGTTCTCCACGAGTTGTTAAATAACAACCAATCAATGCTTCAACACAATCTGCTATCGACTTATCCGGTATAGCTTGTTGTATAGTAATTAAATACTGATTATTTCTATAATACAATAGTAATAATATGTAATTGAAGTTATTTGATGATGAAGACATATTAGAAAATAAGTAATTGATAAGAGCTAGTTTCTTATCATCGGTAACGTATATAATCCATATAAAGTTTTATTTCAAATATTTCTGCTCGGTAGATCCAAGTGAAGAGAGGAAGTGTTTGATTTGATTTAGTTGAACAATAACATTCAAACAACTAGATATCAGGAGTAACACAAGTATCACCAATGGCGATGATGGATGATGATTGCGAAATACCACACATTGATTAAAGTTAGAAATATCAGTCTATGCATGCCAATTCAGTAGCCTAGAGTTAAGATACTGGCAGAGAGGTCTGGATGCGCGCGCTTGATGAATCTCACACTAAGAAGAAAAAAAACTATCTTGCGCTTCTTAGTTTTTTATTTGTCTCCCTAACTAAAGTCCGTTCACGATGTAAACTAAAAATTCAATAAAACCCACAGCTTGCCTGGACAAACTAGATTCCTTGAGGTACTGAAGAGTCAAAAAAAGTTAATAAGAGCACATGTGCAAGCAGCTGATTGTCATGATCAATTGTAACAAATTAGTACAGTTATAAATATTCATCGTTTTGTATTCATTTAAAAATGACACTGACCATAATTGATAGGTTCATTAGTGAAATCTTTCGTCAGCTTAGAATAAGGTAACATATCAATAATAGACATTATTCTAACTACTGGGATATATATATATATATATATATATATATATATATATAATATTTACTGTGTGATAAGGAACAGTATTGAGAACTTAGTCGTCTAAAACACAATGGATGTAACCAACAAGTGACAAATTCAATTAATCTGTTTCAATCATCGATAAAAATGCCTAATTCATTGAGAGACACAACATAACATGATTTTCATTACCATTAATTATCTTATTTAATAATGGAAATATTCCTTTCATAAACTAATAAATCAATCGTTGGTCACCGGCTACCATGGGACTGCATCTCCTGACGATGCTCTACTGCCTTGTGGATCAAACGTTTAGGTCAAAGGCTCCAAGTGTGGCCCTCTAAGAAAACCACCTTTTTCAGTTTGGGCACCCGGGCAGTATCACAGCCCTCAAACAAATCAAATAAGATTTGTGTGGCGCATATGTATCTGGTGCCCCTTTGTACCAATATTTATGTGTTCAAATAAATAAACAAATAATAAAATTATTTCTTATACATAAGGTTGATGAGAACAATGAAGTGAACAACTTACAAATGTTGTGCATGTAACACTTTTGGATCATTTGGATCCCAGTCAGAAATTGGAAAATTTTCAATAGGTTTAATTTTATTTTCATCAATAAAATCAATATTTCGTAGAACTTCATCATCCATTAAAGTATCAGTTGACCAAATTACTAAGTTACGATTAGTTTCAGATTTTTTAATTATTTCATTATTAAGACGTTTATCTTGACGTACATAATATCCAGGTGGTATCCAATTTTCATGTGGTTCAAATTTACAACCAATCATTCGATTTTGTAAATCTTTAGCCTTACCTAAACGATATAAATTGGAATTACAAACCTAAAGTATAAATACAGAAAAAAAGGGAGTAGAACATGTTAATTTATTCAAAAAGAAAATGTTTTAATAAATACATATCAATTTTCATAGTTGAGATCATGAATCAATTGAAGCTAGACCAACGTGGAAAACCTGGAAGCACTGAACGGCCATTTCGTCCTATTATGGGACTCCACAGCAGAGCGCATCCACGATCATTTAAATTGTAGTTGGTTAGACAATCAATGAAAACCAAGAAGTATTGGATAGGTATTTCGTTCTAGTGTAGAAATCTAAAATAATATGAATCCAAGACCTTACTATCAATCAGGCTTACACGTCTAACCTTCAATCAATTCGTAATACTGTGCAACCGTCTTCTAAAGATCAGTTTGTGATTGTAAACTATAAAATTCACAATGACAGAACAAATTAGTTAAATATGATTAATGTGAAGTAGAGAAAATTTATCTTATTTATTAACCAACAGTCTCAAATGTTTTCTTTTTAAAAAAGTTTAGTCACTTTATATCACAGTTAACTGTAGAAAAAAATAGATACGCAGGAAAGTCGTGTTTTTCTGTTTACCCCAGGAGTATGAGATATATAGAGATCAAGATAGTTGCACTAGTGCTACAAAAGCCTCAAATTGTCTAACCTTCTTAATTCTGTCAAAAAATTATAGGTTTCATGTTTAACCGAGGTCTTGGAAACTTGGTACTAAAGAACTGACATACATTATTGTTTCATTTATTACTGTCTCTTTTGATTTGCTATCTTGTTACATGTTCCTCAGGTGATCGATGTTACTATAGAAACAGAATTATTGTTTACTATTTAAGACTTCCTAGAATATAGAGCACCCTTGTCAAGAATGGATTTTTTCTTCTCATATTGGAATGCTTGGTGTATACTACGGTTAGTGTTGTACTTACGTATGAAAAGCACATGGTAGGGAAGAGTAAAAGAGGGAAACTTAGTCCCAGTCTTAATCGTCTAGAAGTAAGGATATAAAAAATGGCTAATTTCACAGTTGGTATGAAGATGTGAGAAGTAAGATTCTGATCTTTGGGTGCATTTTTCACAGTGGTACTTGAGCAGAAAAGATTATTGTAGTTCAGGCAAAACAAGTAACAACTCATGTTTGTACATGTGAAAAACAGACATACATGAGATAATCCCAACATGAACACAAAAGAACTTACGATTCGACTACGTAAATGACTTAATTTGCCTTCATGTGCTTCCGGATAGGTAAGATAGAGATGAACCGTGACGACAAATTTCAAAAAACTATCACCAATCGTTTCCATACGTTCTAGATTAATGAAATCATTAGAACATGACATTGTTAAAGCCTGTAAAATAGTTGTAGGTCCAGGTTGATAAGCACGTTTACGAATGTTGTTTGAAGGTTTTTCTGAATCCTATTGTACAAAGAAACAACCGAATTGGTTTTTTATTATATAAAGGTCATAAAAGTGAAATGTGGAGCACGATAAAGAGTCAAGTGGCACTATATATATGTCCATAGCTTTCTGACGACTACCTCCAACCAACCAACGTCTCAAAATTATGCACACGATGTTGAGTCACTCAGACTACTGGGCGTGATGCAACTGGATCTATAGAATTCAATTGGCACTGAAGGGCTAAACAAACACGAGATCGCTAACTACTCAGCGGTCGAATAGAAAAAATTTCTCAGCTCAATGGGAGGTCAATAGCGGTCCGAAAATCGGTGATAACGTCTTAGACTATAAAGTCGGATGACGCAGATTTGAATACTGCTGGGAGTGACTTTAACATTGAAGGTACTCTTTTTTAACGAGTCCCAACTAGGATGAAACTTAGACCTGGGATGTACTGAATACTAGCTTTAAATACTAAACAGCATAACGAACCACTATGAACTCTAACAATACTGTTTTTATTTTGTAGGTACTACTAGAGTGAAAGAAAACGCAGGTGTGGAAAACCTATCAATTATTTTATGTAAAATTACACAGTGCTTTTGTAAATTTGAAAATCATACATTTAATACGTTATTTGCACATCTTTCTGTTGTCCTTTACATAATCCATGATTTTTCCAATTCAGTCGCTATTCCAACTTCTCTTTGCTTCCCTTGCTGATCTCCTCAATTCAATTTCTCAATCTTCTATTGGCAGACATTCCACTTCAGATTGCTGCTACATACTACTTATATCTGTCAACTGATTGGCGGCCTGCTTCAATATCTGGGCTACCAGTTCCTGCCATCTCGATATTTCGGCATATCTGTCTTTTGAATGAATGCAACAATATTTGGAATTAGACTACGACTATTGAGTACCGAGTTTCATTTTACTTAAAATAATATGGATATAAAAAGATAAAACGAATATGTGTATATCGAATACGTCTATATGATGCAATAGATATAAGACACTAAAACAATGTTAATTTTGATTTGTACTTACTAATTGTCTCGAAATATCGAATTCACTTAAATCATTATCATCTTCAGGTGGAAAGAAATGAACATTTCCTTCAAAGCTGTCTACACTCTCTGTATCCGAATCAGTTACCAAGTATTCTTTATCCATATTAATATAATTTTCAACAACTCTGAAAATAAAGAAAATCTTTTTTGATGAAAAAAACTATAACTTTTAAGTTATTTTTGTATTGTTCGTTTTAATCTTCCCATTGACGTTTAGGACTGCAACTAATCAGTCTCTTATTAGTATATGTGCATCCTGTGCAAATTGCTTATGTCACAAACATTATAAGCAGAAATGGATGGTGGCTAGCATTGGAATCTGGAACACGCGTTTCGTCCTACTTTGGGACTCAACAACCGGATGTGCCTGAGTCCCAGAATCGACTTTCACTGCGGAAGTCGGATCCAATACCGTTCACTCCAAACGCCACCGCGTTATCCACTTAACTACTGAATCCAGATAGCCTCTAGCCTATGCAACCGTGTAAAGATTAACTCAATCTGTACGGGTTATTTGAATCTTTCCATTGTGGTCAAAGACTGCAGTTGATCAGTCTCTTATTGACATATAATTTTTGAGATAAAAAGTGTTTATTTACAACGATGAAATCGGTATTTAAGAAATTTATTTTGCAACTACACACTGATTAAAGTGTTTAGAAAAGATGGTGAAACACATCTTTGAAAATAATCTCTGAAATTAATATTCATAGAGTACTGTTGGAGAGACAAACACTTATGGATTTATTAACAGTGACAAGAAAATGAATTGCTTATTGACCCACGACCAAACTGTCTAGTTTATAATATTTTAGAATTTCAATAACGTGCTTTATTTATTAGTCACTCACCAACTGATTACTTTATTTTGATTCGATTCGATTCAGCTTGAGATGAAGAACATGTTATGTCTCGATAACAATAGTGAATAATAACTTTGTGATCTATTTACGAACCAATACTATGCCTATATTTCTTATCATATAATCGCTAAATAACTAAGCTATTTATAATCGTGTTCCCCTTATTATAAGCTATATTTTGAACTATAAACCATTGTTATATGATTTACCATTCTTGCATTATGCCCTGTCTTTTATTTACTATCTCCCCTATTCACAGCCACCTTTAGCTAAATCTTTTACAAATGTTATTTTCTATTTTATGGTATGGTGCGGTCAGTTTGATGGGTATATAAAATCAATATGTTTGAAACATAATGATTCATACCACAGAGATTTTTATTAGTGTTCTGGACTTAACTGGCTGGGCTAGGCAGAAAGCAGGACTGATAAGTACTCTAGACTGCTCGTACAGGTTTCGTGTATCACTGGTCCGATTGGTAATTCGCTGCTCTCTGATTGGCGGTCTTATCACGTGATACGTTAACAGGGCATCCACTCGGCCACAAGTTATAACAGAGCAATCACTGTGATCACAGTTGGTTCGAACAGCAAATAACTATAGAAATGAAGTCACCATATACTTAAAAGTTGGGTTCTACGGCTTAGAAGATCGATTATTGAGCTAAGTAACAACGTCTAAACCTGCACGTATCAATATTTGTGTTACATTTTATTCGCGTGTGAAATTTATGTATGTTACTAATGCTGATTCGTCAAAACAGATGGGGTTTGAATAGGACAAAGAAGAGTAAGATGAAAAAAGCTAGGAGCGCACAGGCCAAGATCCAGTTATTACTCCACGAAGTCGCTGATATCTTAGTTTGAACAGCGAAGGGATATATAAATGTATTCATTGAGGCTTCTGAGATAATCATGGTCTGGCATTTGGTAAATATCAGCTAAGCAGTGCATCATGAGCCTTAGTGTTTACACAACGGCACACATTATTGCGATTTGGTAATAAAAGCAGGTTCGATATTAATATAATTGGAACGACAGTTGCCAAACATATGCACATGTAAAGAGATGAACAAAAAAAATGCGAAAAAGTACCGATATTACCACGGAAATCTGACTTCGCACTGAGCCACGTAACTTATGATGTTATACATTATACACAGTAATGAAACAGTAGGGAATTGTAACATTTAGCACAAATCAATACTGTTATAAAACTTATAAGTTTAAATGAGGTTTCATAACTGAATTTAAATATATTGAAGGAGCGGATGAATTAGTCAAAAAATAATCTTTTGAGGGTGTAGTACGTCCTTTCAAGAGATACAATACAGACGTCCTGTAGACGAAGCTTAACTTTATAAACAAAAGACGGCAAACAGTAACCATAAATGATAAATAATTCAGATTGTTAGCAAAAGACATTTAGGAAATACTTGGCGACTGATTTACGCACCTAAGCTATTTGTACGTCGCAAAGAATTGGAAAAACGTAATGTGGATTGAAGAGCAGGTTAGTTTGATAAAAGTGCAAATCAATGGAAAATGAATAATTGGATATTAATGAAATAGGATAAATTAAATAACTAACCTTAGTTCATCCTCGTCCTCACTGTTATTCGATGGATTAGCATCTAGATAAAATCATAAATAAGATCAATGAATAGAAATAATGAATGACACATTCTCTTTTGAAAAAAATTAAGACAAATGTTCTTAGATCATATGAAAACAAAAAAATCATCAGTGTTCTCTAGAACCATCAAGTTTGCAAACAGAACGCTAGTAATGCCGACTTCCTAGACAACCGGAAGACGTACACTTATAGGTTTCGTTCATCACAAAGTGAACCTCCTTATAAACTAACACCAGATGAAGTGTGGAACAAGACAATGAGAGGTTACAATTCTTTACGTAATGCGTATATATAAACTTCCATCAACCATTTGGATTTTTCAGTGTGTTCCTCAACTCAAACAGTTTTCTCTCCAGAGTTTCAAGTTTTCTGTCTACGCCGTGCTTTTGATGCACTGAAACTCTTATCAGTGTCCGAAAACTGTGACACGTTAGAGACCACGTTCCACCACATACTATTTACAAATAATCTTGTGGGTAGATTCCACTACAATAGGACTATTGAAGACAATGTAGCTCAGTTAGTACGGCTATTTTATCTTAGTTTGAGACTTTACGAGTGTAAATCCTTAGAATATATATACGGTTTAACAAATGGATTTTGAGTTACATGATGAGGAATATGCTTTTAGAACATTAAGTAAGAAACTAGTATTATACTTTTCAAATCAATTTATTTTTACAAATGATAGGAATCCTCAGCTGCATATACATGAATCTTACTGTTAATGTTCACACTGACACCCAAACATGGTAATTTTCGCATCAAATAGAAATGCGTTATTCACTGAGCTATTGAGCTCAGATAGCAACTAGCTCATATATATAATCCTAATTTGGATGAAAAACGTGTACTGGACTCGATTGTCAGATACAATTGATACACTCTAAAAATGTGTGGAAAAACGGATCGAGACAATCCGCTCAGAATGCACATATTCGAACTAAGACTGATTGAAAATTAGTTATGAATATAATTAAACCCTTTCTAATAACTAAGACATTTCATGAAAAATCATATCCCTCATACTATAAAATTAACGAGTTAGTGTCTTATTCGTGACTTGATTAATTCCAAAGCCCGCATTAGTTATTATTATTATTATTATTAAGCAAGTTACTCTAATTGATCAACATCAAACAATCCAAATGAGATTGATACAATGTGAAACGACGTTCATGTGAAAGTGGTTATTTTATGATGAGTGTCAGTCTATAATAATAAATAAATAATATTAGAGAATGGGCTGAACAAATAATAACCTACCATTTGAATTCAACTCAATAACTTTTGTTTCTTGTAATAATGATTCTAAATTTCCGTTTGATAAACTGAAATGATCGTATGGTAATGATGATAACGCTGTGGTAGTAGATTTCTGTGCTGACGATTGATGACGATGATGTTTATTGTTATGAACCATTGATGCTGAAGTAGCATGAAGTTTTAAAATAGTCGGTTTTTCAGATAATAAATCATCATCACCATCATCCTCGTTAACAACAACGAGATTGTCATTACTGCTATCATGATTTTCTTTGGTTTCAGCATCGATAGAGTTGCGATGATCTTCATTATCACAAATATTATCATTGTCATTGTCACTTGAAATGCTTACATTATTTTGTTCATTGTTTATTCGATCGGTAGAAGTATGACTATTAGACACTGAATGGTATGATGATTCCTTTTTATTATTTTCATTCAATTCAATGGTAGACATTTTCTTGTTTAATTCACATGTATCTATACAAAAAAAGAGGGTATAGTGTGTTGAAAAAAGAAAGGCATATTTATTGTAACAAAATAGTATGAGGTTCCGCGCATGTTTTACCTAAGATGTTATAACTGAAACCTTTTCAGGTTAAGTTGTGCTTTTTTATTGAATGGGGAGACTTCAATTCTAAGATGAGTAGTTATCTAAAGAGAATGGAATAAGCTACAGATGTACCAATGTTAGTCAGTCAGTTAGTTATAACTTAGAGCTCAGAAGTGCTTGCTAACCAAAGTTGTCATAACACATTGCAATGATGAGATGAAATTAACAGAATGAATAGTAAATGAATTCAAATAATAATGTACTAGCAATGATAAAGAGAAGAACCATAGGTTATGAATATGGTACGGAAAAGTTTGTATGGAGGAATACTAGGACTCAAGGTCTACAGCACGATAAAATGTGGATATATTTGTCCATTGTAATCAATTTTAGGTCATGCCATTCAAAGTGTCAACCTGTGATCGCGATTACAGTGCACATTCCGACCAGGTATTCTGGATTTACCAATATGGATTGGATAAACAATTAATGAGTTCATGGGCTGACATTACATCGCAATTTGACCCCCTTTAATTTTCTCCCAACCTACTTTTACAATAGCAAACATTGCTCGTTGAATTAGGCTGTAGTTAGACATAAATGACCATTTATATAACAACTTTTGTCTAAATTTGATTGAGTAGCTTCATAGCATTTAGGCGCCAGGTTGATATGAGACATTAGGGAGGAAGAATGTGTTTGTAAAATTTCAGGTTCATTTGCCAAGATTTTACAAATACATTTTTTCTCCTCAATCCAGTCAGTCAGCTACAACGTATGACCAGGGACATATATGCATCGGTCCAAGTTGCCATACCTCGTTAGCACAACAAGATAGACACCGGATTCATAGAAGTAGTTAATTTAGTGGTGGTAGTATATAAAAGATAGGTTGTATATAAAGATATAGTAAGGAAGGAAGAAAGTTATGGAGCAATTCTAATCTAGAGGTTTAAAGGAAGTTAAAGAGTGTATACACCTACGCCATTGTGATTGATTCTGACCCATGTCACCTACAGTCTCCAACCATTGGTTACGATAGTCACGCGGACCCCAATCAAGTAGTCTGCATCTGCCAACATGGCTCAGACTAGAAGTTAGTGACTTCATGAAGTGATAACTGCCCTCATACCTCTAACAGCACATTTTCTCCTCAATACATTAATATTATTTTGAACTTGTTGGTCCTTTAATTAAAATTCATACTGAAAACAATCTTTTTATGTGATCTTCAATAATAAAAATGATGATGATAATAACTGTAAGAGTGAAGAAAACTTTAAATACCTGATTGATCACTTGGAACATTTTCAGTTGATTTCAGCTTAGTGGTGGTACCGATAACATTGTGGTTTTTAGCTCTTTTCATATTACGACAATTTTGTTTTCGCCGGCCACCACCACGGCTTTTGCCACTGCTACTACCCAGAAATTTCGAATTGGTTCTCGTAGGTTTTCGCTCATTATTATTGTTATTATAAGTATTAGATTTACTGGTCGATTCATTATTTACGACAACATGATCTGGTGCAATAGGCAGGTGAATATTTAATGATTCAAATAAACAGGAAGTAGTATCAGGATCATTAACATCACCATTCTTGTTGTAATGTGAAGACAAATTGATAAAGTCATCTTTCAAGATTTTATTACATTCTGGTAAGTATGCACATCCTAAATTCGTTTCACAAGCAATACGGTGACGTAATTCTTCAGCTAATAATAAGTGTTCTAAACGATATAAGATACTTGGGATACATACAGCTTTACGCCATACTAGAGGAGATGGTAGAATGGAAAAAAAGCAAAATAACAGAAAATCAACATAACTAATTGGCAATTGAAAAAAGTAGTCAAATTACACAGATCATATAATTTAAATGATTCAATATGATTTCCATAGCTGGGAGAATACTATTTCCAGAAGACAAGTTGAGTTGCCTAAACTGAACAACTTTACTTCATCAAATTGACCAATTCTCAGAATGAAAAATATGAATCATGCTAATGATTTGCACATACAATTTTATGTATTCATTTTTAGACAGAAAGATAAATACTTCTAATGTTGACACTTTATAAGATATAAAATACTTATATCACTTATTCACTGGGGATAATTAGAATTTTAACAGTGAAGATTAGTATACTAATGAAGTGAAAGCTAGTCTGTATAAGGACTTTGAAGTGATATATGTACTTGATATTTTAACATGTATTCCCAATAAAACTGACAACCAACTAATTACTCACTTTTGTTACACCATTCATAACTATATTATCAGCGTTTAAGCTTTATTTCTGATAGACTGTAGTTGAATGTTTTATATTCCTCCCTACTTATTGGATACTTAAGCTCCTGAGGTTACTTTTTTTTAGCATAAATGAAACAAATAGGCAGTTGAATATTTTGATGTTTAAAGATTTCCAGCCATGCAATGAAAATGAAGATAGGACGTGTAGATTATCAGAAATGAGGACGTAGTTAGTTTTAAATCGATAGAATAACTGTCAGTTTGCGATATTCGTTGGATAGATTGTGGTGAATAGTCATTGAAAAAACAATAAAAAATGATAATAGAAAGAACTAACCTGAAGCAGGAAATGAATGCCGAAAACATAATTCAGGAACTAATAATTGTTTGTTTGTAAGATCTTCACCCTGATGATCATCATGATTTTGTTGTTGATAATATTGTTTGTGTGTATAAACATTATTAGATTTAGAATTATTAATATCACCATTATTATCATTAGCATTAGTATTATTATTTCCATATATATTCATATAACGTGGTATTAATAAATTTAATCGCAATACTGTCAAGTCAACATCCAACAATGGTTGATTATTTGTTGTAATTAAAGCATTATATTTGTTAATATAGTATGCAGCGAAATTACGAAACTTATCCGATGGAAATGGTGATAGCGGACTCATATCATTCCTAGGTTTCAAGAGTGATAAATAGGGAAGAAAGGAAAGTAATGAGAATTAAAAGACAATAGAATAGAAAAGAAAGTATATATAATGATAGTAATCTTAGGAATAATGATCCATAACAAATTAAGTTAATTCTAAATAGGATAGAATGAGTTCATATATTAACTAATAAACCATTTACATATAATGAGTGGGATAAATAGGTCGCGGTGAAGAAAAATACTTTGGAAGTGTTGTCATTGTTATCACCTTGATTGATGGCACAACTAGGTGAGTAGTATTAAGGTTATACTGAATAACTAAATTAACTCATTTGCTAAGTACTTCAGGGTAGGGTGTGAGCAACACTCCACGTACAAGGGCTAATTATACTACCCAGTTCCCAAACCCAAGTAGGTGGAGAGGGATTCAAAGCTGGAACTTGGTGACTGAAGATTGAATGCCTCACCTACTAAACTACGCTTTCACAGTACTGAAGTTACAACTAATGAGTTTAGTGATTTGTTAGGTGGTTTGAAGGTAGTCGATAGGAAATCTAGCCTTCCCTAAGCTTTGTGCAAACTGGAACCCGTTAGCACGGCGTACCAGTAATCTTGGGGTAGTGATAATATATCTCAAACTGTGAAACTGAATGACCAGGTTCTAATCCACCAGGGAACACCAGTTCTCTCAAAATTATAAGTTCATAGTGGTGACGAGTACTAAATAGCACAACATCAAGGTCGGGGGCTTTCCTGTAGATTAGCTCCAAATCCCCTGACATCTCAACATTGAGTCACCTGATTGATAGAACTCGATCAGGATTAAAGAACCAGACAAACAAGATATTGTTGGGGAGTTTCAAAGTATTTTTCTGAAAAGTCCATAAGGGTCTCAGAGAACTTTAGGAGACGTTTGATCTAATCAGAGCATCATAGAAACATCTAGTATGCGAAAACTGAAGTATCATATTTCCAACTGGATATTTTCCTATGCTAATACTATACTTAGTATGGTTCCAGAATGATATGTCTTGTAAGTTGAACGCTTTATTCAAATCCTAAGCTATTCGGATAACCCCAGGCTAGCACTACTCAGCGATCAGAGAGAAGACACGAGTACCAGAGAAAAAACACTTTACTGCAAGGTTCATTTATGTACAGAAAATGCAGGAGTTTTATAGTAATTAAGAGACCTTGAGTTTCCATAGTAGCGGTGTGTTAAACAGCCAATCAGGACATCGTTATTTTAGTAGCATAGCTTCTAACTAATCGCTGATTGGTTGGGGCTCTTTATGAGCCTCTGGAGGCTCTGATAGAGTTTACTGTAAGCCGACTTAACACAGAAGCCCAAGGTTGTCCGTGATATTACAAGTACCCCCGTTTTTCTGCACACCAAATAATGTTGGAGCAAGGTGTTCCTTTCGCACCTTGCGCCTTTCCTTTTATGTTCACTTTGCCGTGTAGATTTAACCTGGATTTATTAAAAGCGGCTAGGAAATCCAATCGACAGTTCAATTAAAAGGCCTCTTAGATATCAGTTACTATTCAGTGATCAATCATAGTCTAGTGACTTAAATTATGTTTTGATGAATATTTTACTAACATGTATATGCACAATATTGGTTTCTACTAATAAATTTCATTTTCATTTTAAAATATTTCATACTTCGTTCTTGATCTTTTTTAGCATTGTTAAATAATTAATTGTAGATGTACTATACAGTCAAACATACGATAAAAGTCATTAACCTACGCTATTGAATTGCTTTGGAAATTCTAATCTTAAGGGGTCATTTGTTTAATATCCATTTTCATATAGGCTAATTTTATTTGCACAGACGGCTTCGAATGCTATTATTTCCCAATTAACTGATTTATAAAAGCAGTTATACAAGTTAGTTATTCATTTTTCAAGATCATTATGAATAGATCCATACAGGTATACAGAAAAAAACGAGCTGCACATTCATTGTTATATTTTTTGAAATTGAGTTATATAATAATACGTATTTATGATAATTGCAGGTAACCAAAACAGATAACTTACAAATCGTTATATTGTTAAGTAGTAAAAAAAGCTTAAATCGAAAAAAATTAATGACTATTTGGTCAATGACGTTTTCGTAAAACACTTTATTTAAAGGTTACAACAAAGTGATAATTAACGTTTTCAGTTATGATATTTGGCTTTATACAAAAAGAAAGCTAATTAATTATCTCAACATGTACTATTCGTTTGAATATTCCCATTGACGTTTAAGACTGTAACTGATCAGTCTCTTGTTGGCATAAGTGTATCTTGTGCGGATTGCTTCGATAGTGCTTCAAGCAACAGGCATTATAAGCAGATATGGATGGTGGCTAGCAGTGGAATCTAAGGGGTGCGTTTCATACATGCCAATAAGAGAATGATCAATTGCAGTCTTAAACAACAATGGAAAGATTCAAGCAACCCATACAGCATGAGTTAGTCCTCACGCGGTTGCATAGGCTAGAGGCTATCTGGACTCACTAGTTAAGTGGATAATGTGATGGCATTTGGAGCGGACAGTATTAGGTTCGAATCCCGTAGTGAAAGTCGACACTGGGATGAAGGCACATCTGGTTAATGATTTCAAAACAGGACGAAACGCATATCCTAGGTCCTATTATTAGCCAACATACCTCTCTAATTAATCACCTATTTACAAGTTGTAATAAATCACTAAGATTCACGAACAGAGGAACAGATGGGTAGAACACTTTGAAAATCTCTTGAATTAACCAGCTCCATTGAATCCACTGGACATCGAAGCAGCACCTACAGACCTCCCTGTAGATGTCACTCCACCAACGATCGAAGAAATCAAGATAGCCATCAGAAAAATCAACAGTGGGAAAGCAGCAGGAACTGACAACATACCAGCTAAAGCACTGAAGACAGACATAGGAGTAACTGCAAACATGCCTCACACACTATTCAGAAAGCTTTGGAAAGAAAAACAAGTACCGATGGACTGGAAAGAAAGAAACCTCATCAAGATACCAAGGAAAGATCTAAGAAAATGTGTGAACTACAAAAGAATTACATCATCACATTAGTACCAGGAAAGGTTCCACACAGGGTGTTGCTGAATCGGATGAAAGACGCAGTAGACGCCCAATTTCGAGATCAGTAGGTCGAATTCCGTAAGGATCGGTAGTGCACAGACCAAATCGTCACATTATGGATCATCGTTGAACAATTAATTGAATGGAACTCGTCACAATACGTCAACTCCATCGACTATGAGAAGGCGTTTGACAGTGTAGACAGGAGAACATTATGGAAACTTGTTCGACACTATGGAGTTCCTGAGATCGTCAACATTATCCAGAACTCATACGACGAACTATAGGCCAAAGTCGTGCATGGTGGACAGTTTCCAGTAAGGACCGGAGTCAGACAAGGCTGTCTACTCTCCCTCTTTCTCTTTCTTCTGGTGCTCCCCTCGACATCTGAGGAGAAGCATGGGATAAAATGGAAAGCTCAGAATCAATTAGAAAATTTGTACTTCGCAGATGATGTAGCCTTCCTAACCCATACACACGAACATGTACAAACGAAGACAACTAATATAGCAACAACCTCTGGATCGGTAGGCCTCAACATACACGTAGGAAAAAGCAAGATCCTGGAATACAACGCGGAAAATACCAGCCCAGTCACATTTGATGGGGAAACTTTGGAAGAGTTGGAATCTTTCACGTACCTGGGAAGTGTCATCGATGAACAAGGGGGATTCGATGCAGACGTAAAGGCGAGGATTCTTGATAGTAGTGGGTTGGATTAAAGAAGTAAAATAAAGCATGAAATGTATGTAAAACAATTCATAATAAACAGATCAGAAGTAGCCTAATGAAATTCGAGAATGAAAAGTTATGATTGAAACTTGTAAAGTAACAAGTTTTCTCATGGAATGTAAAGTCAAAGTACACCGTTATCGAGCTGAACAAACGTAACATAGACAACGATAAACTACAACCGAATATATGTTTATGTTACAACAGTTTGTATTAGTAGTCAAGGGAAATTAACAGACACAAAACTAAAATAATCATATCAATATTAATATAGAATAGCAAAATAAAACAACGTGGAAGGATACATCTTCTTGAGGCATTTGAGAAGTGAACTAGATTTGAGGCGTTCTTGGAGATCAGGGAGCACGATTGCAGAGCCTAAAGAACAGCTACTTGAGGTCGGTCACATATGGGTTTTTAGCGCTTGGTTCTTGATGTGCTGATCTTGTGCTTTAAAGGCCTTACTGCCAGTGACAAAAGTTCACAGAGTGTATTTTAGGGTCGACTTTTTCTAAACCCTCCCGTTGTGGGAAGGCAACATCGTTGCAGATGCACAACATTAGTGAGAAATGCCCTACTGTAGTCACGCCCATGTAAAGTCAACAGTACAACTTCACTCTTAGACCTTGGGTTTGCTGATTCAGTTATACTGTTTTCCAATCTACCTGCCTATCATGGCAGGACCAAAAGGGATGAATGTTTCAGCCAATATAGCTCTGTTGGTTCGTCACGATTTGCAAGCCCAAACACGTAAAGACACTAAATACAGTCTGACAATATAGTATAGAGTGCAAAAATAATTGTTACATATGGTACGTTAACCATCATTTAATTCAGAATTCATAAATGATAATTAGCACAAAAATATGCAATGTTTATACCTTATTATTGCTACATAATAATATTGTGGTTGATCTAAATTTCGATAACCAGGTGTAACCACAGCGTTGACGAATTCTTCCATTCGAAATTCAAATATACCCGGTTTATTATTAACTGAATTTGACTCGATAATACCTGACTTTTGTAAACGATTCACTAAGATTGATGCAACACTGTCACCACCAACTTTTCGATTATGATGATGATGGGTGTTGCTAGTGTTAAATGTTTTACCTGATCCATTACTAGTAACAACACCAGCTTGTAATTTAATTTGATCAATGCGTTCTTTCCATTCTTCTTGAGATATTTCATTCATTCTACGTGGTAATAGATGACATACAGATTTATCACAAGATGATGTAAGCACTAAATTAATAAAACCCCAATCAATTGAACATGTATCTAGTGTATGATAATGAAAAAAAATTAACAAAAATGAATGAATGAATGAATGAAGAAAATCACTAGTGTTAAATAATAAACATCTACATGATATAATAGATGGTCAGTTTCTATCTTTATTCACTATGAGATATTTATCCAGATATGATTCTCTAATAAATATTGAATAGTTATTCAATTAATTAGTTAGTACAGAATTACATCATATGCGTATAGTTTGTACTGGGAACAGAACACATGTTGTGGGTATTTTTTCGCTAACTAAATGAACGTAGTTTAGAAATGCTTATGACTGATAACTCACGCCGACTTTACTTCACCTAGAATCACTAATCAGAACAGCAGAAACAGAACCAGCCAAGTATCTAGTACTGTATTGAACTCAAGGAGCTGGTGTGATGATATATATAACGTACCCACTATAGATGTTAGATTTCAATGGAAACTCAACAATAACATTTGTGGTACATATCAAAGTAACAGATCTATAGTTAATCAACTATAATTTACAAACGGTGAAAGATATTGTGAGAAATAATTAATCAAATGAAAGCCCCCTAAAAAGATAATTATTTAAAAAAAGATACAATGAAGTGACTGCTTGATAAATAAACACAACAAGAAGTATATATATATATATATATATATATATATATATATACTCAAAAATAGTTTTCAAAATTTTCACGATTTGATTTGCTTTGTTGTTTCAAACAACAACGTTAACTAAACAAAAATGTTGAAAATCAACAGAGTACCGCACAGAAGTCACTGTATCATTCAATTATAGCTTGATATTTGCTTAATATTATATCAGTAGTGGATAACTGATATCACTTTTTAGTTGTGATGTGGCAGGTGAAATTAAGTCGTGATTGATCAACGAGCAAAGATGGAGATATAAAAGACTATCTACCTAATGTGTTAAACTGATTTTCATTTTTCCTGCACTTCGAGTTCACTTGTTGACTGCTTTACATTGTGTGATAGCATACTGTTTTTCCAGGTTATATCTGGGTCTGATTATTGATCGGATAACTGGATTTAGTAAACCAAGTATTGTGATTTGATGAGTCTGTTCATGTGATAAGCAGTCTAGTGAACTAGTGCTTAATCTTCTTGATCTCATTATCTAGTGATCTATTTAGAATCTATTGTCCAGTCCGTTATAGAGGGTTCTTAGTGTGAACATTCGGTAGTTAATAATAGCTATTAATGTACCGCACTGGAAATAAGTAAAAGGGGTAGGTTTGTTACCAAAAGGATATATATATATACATGTTGAGTTATGAATGATTGAGAAATCCTTTTAATACAAAATAAGATGTATGTGGATCAGATAGATCAGATGTCCAATACACAACACTTGAACAATAATTCTACACGTGATGGAGTGAAAGAAGTAAAGTAAAGCTTGATATTTTAAGAGGTCAAGATTAAAAAAGAATGATTCTGATCATATTAACAAAGACTATTACCTTGGGATACATGACAAAAAACAGTAAACAAAAAGCAAATGTAACCATTTGGATAGTAGAAAATGTCAGTGGAGTTATACGGACTTGAAAAAGGCTATTGAGGTCTGTCTAACACGACAGAATTATCGTTTATTAACAAAAATTAAAAAAAACTAGATAATTTGAAGCCTTTTAGGCATAAAATTTTACCAATTGAAATAAAAACAAGTTAATAATAATATTAATGACCTACCTCGCCTAGTAGGTACCACAAGGACCTGTAAATAGGCTTTATGAAAATTAAACTCCAGAACAGAATCTTTTTCAAAACGTAGAACTTCCTACAACGAAATTAGCATAAATGATAACGTATCGACATTATTATTTTATATACAATAAAATGATAAGATTATGATAAAAATATGAAAGAAGGAAAATCTAATAATACTTATATTTATGGTAATAGTCAACTGAGAATACAATCTCGATAAAATTGGTTATAGTAATTATTGTTTCGGTCAGTTAAACACAACGTAGAACTTGATGCACATATGTTCAAAAGTCCAAGCTGCCACATCACATAGACTTAACGAAATGCCGGAGTAGTAGAAGTAGCAACAGTATCATTGGTAATCGAAGAAATCAGACACAGACATTACGATTTGAGACAAATGAATACATTTATTGAGTACAGAGGTATGAGATAATTTTAGAACTCGATGTCGTAGATAAGATAAATAGTTAATACATTTGGGTCATAGGAATCGATTATAAGCCGTGTTACACAACACTTTCACTCGTTGAAAACGATAATCGTGTGGACCCCAGACAGGCAATCTGTACCTACTAACAGTCAATGACTTGCTGGAATGGTGATGCTTTGGTTTGAAAGTCTAATTTTCTCTGAATTGTTTATGTAAAAAACTAAAACAAACATAATGATAAGATTATTTATGACTTCAACTATTGGGGATCTTTTTTTAAATTCTATCGGTCACTAAAGTTGGAAATATGGGTTTGCAGTGTACCGACAGATGGTGTTTGAATGTAACTATTTTCTGTTCAACAGAACTAGATCATTCGTATGGCAATGATAATTACTTTGTTCAATACCGCGAATCTTGTTAAAGTACGGAGATTTCAGCATCGAATTGTGCAATAATGCAACACATTTCTATTCAGCACACATAAAAGTTTAATTGTTCAAAAATATTTTTTATAAATAGTCAGTAGACCCTAACAACCATTAGCACTTTCAGACGTTTTTTACAAGTTCAATTGTTATATCTGTTTTATTTCTCATCCATTATTTCGAAAATGGATGAATCGCAGTGTCTTCGTCTCTCATATTTTCAAAGGAAAGACAAAAAAGGGAAATATTCCAACGTGTGAAGTATTTACATTTGGATTTTCTAATATTTAACATCGTAATCATTAGTACATACTCTACTAATCATAAATACTTATTTTAAACAAATCTAAGACGGGGAGATTTATTGAGCTATTTGAGAAGTCGAAAAATAGGCGGCTCATACGTCTGAGGAGACCACTAAACTAACTAGTTCACCGTCTATTTAGGTTGACAATGTAAGTTAATGAAATGACATGTGTAAAAGATATCTAGACTGCTGAAAATGATATCATAACAAAGAGATCGTTAATTGTGTAATAATCTACAAGAATCTAAAAGCATACAATACAATCTAAAAAGACTCATATAATGTTCCTACTAAATATCTGTCTATAGGCTAAGAGTGAGAGTCGTTGTTTTGTAAGTATCACATTTTTCTCAAAAATTGTCAATCCTATTAAGTTACACTGTTAGATAGATGGTTAATAAAATCCCAGGTTCATAACGTCTGATATGCGATATACACAGATGCGATGGTAATTGACGATTTTTAGTTAGTATGACAAAATTATGTCATTTACAACCTGATATGTTCATGAATATAAATTCATACAAGAAGGAATCATTCAACACTATGACAACGTAAATATTTGTAGACATAAGTGGTGTGTAACAGTAAAAATTACTGAATAATTATCTTATTCTCAGAAAGGGGTTTTGTGGAGATTTAAGCGATTTTATAGAGTTGAGATCATGAGTCGATTGAAGCTAGACCCCCATGGAAAACCTGGAAGCACTGGACGGCCGTTTCATCCTATTATGGAACTCCTCAGCAGTGCGCATCCACGATCCCGCCTCGCGAGATTCGAACCCAGGACTTACCAGTTTCGCGCCACAGCACTTAACCGATTATTATCTTATTCATTTCGTAAATATTCAAATGAAAAAATCAGATGAAACTGTAGCCTAATAATAATGGATAGTGATATCATTTATATCTGATAACCAATTATTTGGATAACCATTACAAATACAATATAAATTAATCCATTTACTAAAAAATACCATTACGTCATAGATTACATACTCTCTAAACGTTGTCTGACTGGAATTTTTAAAGAAAAGAAAGACCTAACGAAGTATCGATAAACAATCTGTTTATTTCTCAATGACTAATTTTCGACGACAATCCCAACGATAACAACAGAAAAGAAGACTTGAATACCTGGAATAGTATACGATGAAATTTAATGAGTCGATCAATTTGTTCTTGCGTTAAAATAGGACTTTGGATAGGTAAATATTGATCATTGAATTGATAATTAGATTTCGGTGACCATAATTCAATAAAACGAATTTTCTCTTCACCAGATCTACTAAATATTGGAAATATAGGTATCTAGAATGAAGAAAAACATAAATGCATGAATAGAAATAAAAGTAGATTTTCGACAATATACTACTATTTTCAGAAAATTAAGATTTACAATGAGTAGAGTAGTGGTTAAAAATAAACAAAGATGTATTTTTAAAAGTTGGACAGGAGCTGGTACATAGTCTGCTATCACATCAATGTAGAAACTGTCAAAGATGTGCTTTTATTCAGAATGTCATAACTACATGACAGCACGATAAGATGAAATTAAGAGGATGAACAGTAGTGGGGTCGAAATAACTGAGCAAGAAAGACAATGAAAAAACTGAACATTGGAAAAGTGATTTGAAAAGATAAAGTCGAAAGGTATATACGAAGAAATACTGGAATTCAGAATAGAGAAGATTAAAGGCGTTACTACAACCACTTTCCAACCATGTCGCGCAACATCTTCAACCAATGGTAGTGGTTATCGTGTGGATACCAATCAGGTAGTCTAAATCAACGAACGTCGTTCACAACCTTAGTCAATAACTTCATAGACGCACTCCTTATCTTAATTTAGCCATTTCTAGCTTGCTTCCAATCTATTATTACACCGGTAGAAATCGCTCATACTATGTGGTATAACTAACTGTAAAATAAACCTAAGAAATTAAGTATAGATTTTCATGAAGGATATTTTTGATAAAATGATAAGTAATACTAGTAAACTGTTCAAATCAAATTAACTACAAAGACGTTTAAAAGTGATGAGGAAATCATAAATTAAGAGTCCAGAGAAAAAATTGATTTATTTAGATTCTTAAACAAATCACGAACCGACCTAATGAGGCAACCATTGAAGACCAATAAGCACTGGAGAGCTGTTTCATCCTGATATTAGGCTTCTCAGAGATGCTCATTTACGATCAAACCGAGGATCGAACCTAAAACCTTCAGGCCAAACAGTGAGACCTTAATCTGTAAACCAGTGAGACAGCATTCAATGGTTTATACTTTCAACTTTAATCGATTCGTGGTAAAATCGGATCATCCTCCGTTGTCTTGGGTGGGTAACTGCATTACACCCAACACAGTTGAATTCTATCGGCTACAGCTTCTAACTAGAGATGCGGAAATTTTCTCTCAACGTTAACCACTAGTTAGGGCATGATAATTATCAGTATTGGGGGGGTTATGGGGGCCGCTGAATGTTGTTGAGATTATGAACTGACCTAGCTCAAATTCACCAACTGATTACATTAAAAACAAATTTGATGTTTAGAAAAATAAGGACGAAAAAAGGGGGGAAAGACGAAACCGCATCATACTTACATGATGTAATGGTTTGGTAGTGAGTAAACCAAAGCCTATCGGTTCATTTTCAGGATGATGACATACACGACCGCGTAAATATTGTTGTTCTGCAAACGGCTTAACCAAATGCATATCAATGTAATAAAGATAATTTGACGAAGGTTCATTAGGTTGAGGTAAACAATTGGACATTTGAGTAGGGAACTGAAAAAAGAAAGTAATACAGGTTAAGTGTATCTAAATTCACAAGGAAACTACTTATTTCTAGTTAAATAAACTGAAGGGCTTACCTACAGCTTAAACAAATGAAAATGAGTGGTATTGGAAAAAGTAGTTAAATACAAAAAGGATTCTGTGGAAATTAGTCGATTGTTATGGAAAAAAAATCTTCACACATCAGAAATCTTGGCAGCCTGCGTGTTCACTCTAGTTTAATGATGATGAGCGAGATACAGAGCTCATTTACCTTTCTATGTACACTGTCGACTAAGCATATTAAAGTACAACGCGGAAACAGAAACTGAATACGAAATATGTCTAAGACTAGCGTATTTCAAACATGCATATGAACAGATGACGGCCGACAAGGGAGCAGTGGATATAGAAATCGAATAGACGTAGATAAGAGGAGTAAGACTCTAGTCAAAACGTCCAATATTTTAACCAAATACCTCTTGAGGGGCGTAGATTTGAAGTATTTCACAAATTAATATTACTGGGTGCTTGAAGGCTAAAAACTAATTGATGATTTGAAAGTCATTGAAATACATAAAGTGAATTATAGTCATAAGTAATGTAGAGAGCCTGAAGTTTTTTGGTTGGAGTATACAAGATTGGTAGAGTAAAAGCTTGACTCTAATTTGTCTAGTGAATGTAAGTTACGATTGGTCGATGAACGAAGATAGACATATCTGAGTACATCAAATATAAATGACTAGGCACAACTACGAGAGAACAAACCAGATTTCAGCGGAAAAAGAAACCAGGAAGAAGCACTGGAAGTTGATAGGAAACACATTGAGGAAAGCACCCAACTATGTCACAAGGCAAGCCCTCACATGGAATCCTGAAGGCCAAAGGTAAAGAGGAAGACCCAAGAACACATTGCGCTGAGAAATGGAGACAGATGTGAGAAAAATGAACGAAAATTGGATAGAACTAGAAAGGAAGGCTCAGGACAGAGTGGATTGGAGAATGCTGGTCGGCGGCCTATGCTCCATTGGGGGTAACAGGCGTAAGTAAGTAAGATACAACTACATTACAGCGAAAACCTTTAGGCAGACAAACAGATTTGGGTTGGAGCCTAGAAGCTTTTGCATAAAATTCAGAACCCAGTGATGGATAGATTATATCTGACTAAAAGCGAATCTTGACTATAATTAATCTCTGAGATTGTCAAGAATAACTTTTATGCAATTACACAGTGAATTTAACATGGTCCGTAAAGCTAAATTAACGGAAATACGTGCTCCATATGTAGATTCTCTCTGAGAGTGGATGATATGATTTAAGGCATAGTACAGGGTTGATTAAAAAGTATTCTCAAATGCTAAGCACATGTTCTGAGCATGACGCTCCTAACCTTAACACCTCAAATAACAGACTCATAACCCCAACTACTGACTTTAACTAGATTCCTAATCCTTAATTCTAACCTTTCTTCGTTCAATTATCATGTTTGAATCACTAATCTATCATAAAACTCGCTAAAATATAATTCTACCGATGGCTACCTTATATGTAAAAAAACATTCCATTTGTTGACTCCACATATGGTGTATTGATAAACTCTCACTCTGGTCAAATCTGGTTCGTAATTTTTGGTCACTCACTCGTGCAAGAAGTATACATTTTAATTTAATTTGTAATGGATTAAACTAATCAGTTGTTGAGCAATTGAGTTGCTATCTGTAGTCAGTGGCAAAATGGATAACGCGATAATGTCTGAAACGAAGAGTACTAGTTTCGGAGTCCGCAGTGAACATCAACTCTGGAATGCAGGTGCATCTAGCTGACAAGTCCCAAATAGGATGAAACGCGCATCCTGAATTCTATTGCTAGTCACATTTCATCTATTTAATATTAGATAGAGATATATTTTTATTGCAACAAAAACAAGGACATTGACACTAACACTACTACATACTTTACGATAGTAATATTGTCTTCGTTTGACAGTATTCTGTATGTTCGACTTCATTTCACCTTCATCATCAGCTGATTCACAACAACCAATTGACGATGCATAATCTCCATAATCTGATTCACTGCCTATATTAGCAGAACCGTTTAAAGAGGAGAATGATTTGTATTTCATTGGAGAGTGTTGAGAAGATAATTTCAAATTACCATAATTTTCGCTTGTTAAATGATGCATAGGATTAGTTTCACGATTAATTAATTCCCATTTAGAATCCATTTCACCACTTAAGTATAAAAGGTGAATAGCATTGAAGGCAGCTGAATATTTGGCTAGTTTCTTACACACCATTGGTTCACCCTAAAAGTAGTACGTAAATAATGAATTAAGATAAAAAATATTTAATAAAAAATGAATAGATATTAAAATAAGGGGTTTCTATTGAAAGTTGAACAAGCTCAGATTTATAGTGTGTTTCGATATTGGATGTAATTCGTACAGAAATAGTTTTTGGAATTTTCCATTAGACGGTTGAAAGTAGTTGCTAAGATACCCTGATGTTATGTTTCGTGCAAGCTGGCACTCATCAGCGAGGTATATCTGTAACCTCAGAATTCTCTATTAACAACGGCTTACTACTTATATTTCTTCAAAAGGGATACTTTTTAAGTACGAGGTTCGAATAGAGTTGTCTGTGATATAAAGCAACGAGTACTTTACTAGTTTGAATGGATGTGAAATTACAATACATCTAGAAGAAAATTCACCCATTTTTAGCGTCAGTTATCAATTTCCTTTAAATTGAGATTAAACTACAGAACTCATTAGATCACTTTGGTTTGGATTCAATAGTACACGTTTACAACTCCGATCAGTTCACGATATAACATCACGACCATCCAATATCAATGATGACGACTGCTTTACTTGTAACATAAATAAATCCCATCTGTCACGAACTCCGAACAGTTTCAGTTCAGTATATGATAAATACCAGCTACAAATTCAATTAACATTATCAAAAGCCATCCAACGGAAAAACCTCAATCATAATATCGACATAACTAGATATAAATGGTCAGGAAATAAAATATTAAACTCACAACTATTGTCTCTTTTACTGAACTATTGATTGGTAGTCGTAAAACACATTGATATAAATTAAACGTTCCATCAGGTTGTAGATCTTTAAGTGAACCACAGGTTGATCCTGGACCAGTTGATGAAGGAGTGAAACCTTGAGGTTGAGGAAATATTTTCCAATACCATTTTGGAGTTAAATTTGTTATATAATCACTAGGAAGACGAGCACAGTATTGATTGATTATATTGATTGCTTTGGATAAGCAGAACTGAAGGTCAGAGAAAATGTGACAAATTATAAGAAAAATCAGCCGAAATAACTTGCATCAAGATTACCTGCCTATATAAGCCTGTAAAATAATATAAATGGAATTTGAGAACCGAATATTGATTTGTCATGCCTATTGAGAAACTTTCTTTCATGTCTAGATGTGGTGTCAGTTGACATTAAAGTGTGTAAACTGACCTCATAGAAGGTAGTTAAGCTCGGCATAAACGCTAGTAGAGCTAAACAAAAGAGTAAATTGTAAATGGAGGGTTATGTATTTTCTTGACGGGCGACTTTGCGTGGTGTAGGAGTAGGTTGGAAGAAAGCTAGGAGCGAGCAAACCAAAATATGGTATCAGTTCACGACTTCGTTGACAATTTGACTTAGCCATGTGTATAAGTGTGGACTACCTGGTTAGAGTCCATATCATTATCGTAATGAGTGGTTGGACACTTTGAGTGACATGATCAGAATCGTTTGCAGTGGTGCAGGTTCATCTATTCCTTGTCAGCCCCATATTCTGGGACTCCAAATTCTTTTATTTCACTAATGTATGTTTTCTTCCCGAATCGTATCTTTGATGCCTAATCTTTCTATTCACCGATGATAGTGCTACTACCTCTTCTATTGAGGGACTTGGGTTGACAATGTCATCTCTTTCTGCTAATGAGATATTGCAGCTCGAGCCGATGTACATATGTGCCTAGTTCTGACTGCAATAATATAAACAGACGCACATGATATACAGCAAAGCCTTGGAAAAAGATAACCTTGTTTACGTTGTCATATTCCGTGGTACACATTACACGACAAGTGGGTTGACAAAAGAGTGAGAAATATCAACAGATTAAAATAAAAGATAAAGGTGGATGCGGAGCAGTTAGATGTGGGTTGATGAGATTGTCATTATTTAAAAGAAAATGAAGAGTGTGCGTGCGTTTGGATTATTATGATCAATTTCACGTCATGGTATTTGTGATATAATATTTCCTGAAGGATAAATCAAGATTACATTTCGTTACAAAGATCAGTTGCTTCATGGATCAGTGTCAGATACCGATTAGGTCATATTGAGGATTCCGTTTTTTTAAAAAGAATCCACTTCTATAATTGACAGCACAAATAAAATAAGAAAGTAGGTGTACATGTATCAGGAAAATAGTCTGCATAGAAACTTGAAAACTAACTTTTGGACCACATGGGCCACGAGGAAAAATTGGCGGTAGAATTTTGTCGACCACCGTCGGATCAATAGCATGTTCATCTGCAAAGACATTATAACCTCTACATCGTTGAAGTAACAATTGTTCAAGTTGTTGAAAACTGAAAAGTAATTTTGTAAAGAAAAAAAAGGGAAATCATTTTTTAACAGAACACTTTACAAGATACAAATACCTAAAACAAAATAATCATGTTAAAATGAAAAAACATTGGTAAAGCTACTTAGAATAGATGAATGACTAGCAGTGGAATCTAAGGCACGGGTTTCAGCCTATTAGGGACTCACATCCGTTACGTGTACATAACGGTAACATCCTAGTATGTGTTGATGTCTACATAAGAAGTTGGAATTTGTAACTTTCATTTCAAGTAACTTGTGATATAATGGTTATATTGAGGGGATTCATACAGTATGCACTGTGTCAGCATATAATAATGATGTAAGTTTAATCCTACATATCAACAATAGGATACCTCAGGCTATTATTAACGGCAGTAAAGGTTGATAAAAGCACTTTTGAGGAAAAAAGAGGGAATGAACTTACTTGCCCAAAAATTGATCATTTATATGATTACTATACATTGAATCAACGGTAGAACGATCATCTGTCTGTTTTGACCTGTTTTGTTTATCATTCAAATTTGATTGTTTATTTACATTATTATTATTATTATTATTATTATTATTATTATTATTATTATTATTATTATTAATAATTTTTTCAATAGAATCGTGATCCATAAGATAAATGACTTTTGCACCATAATTAACCAATCTTGATCTGGCTTTACTGGACAAGTATTCAGCCAAACTATTTGGTAAACGTAATGCAATAACTAAATTACAACGTGGCAATTCAGTACCACTGGTGGTAACAGTTGAAATTGCTGCCTGAGTAGCTACTAGTAAATTGATAGCACCACGACGAAAATTAGTTATTGTTTCTTCTTGATTAACAGAGAATGGATTACGACAATTACTATTATTATTATTGGTTGAAGAATCTATAAATTGAAACAGATAAAAATTAATTGTCATTCCAAATGGTTTTTAAATGAAAAAAAACACAATTAAATCCTACAGTAAATACAATTGAACGATTACAGTGTAGTGACCAAAGTTATTAGTATTGATTGAATTTTATTGGCCAAGTTTTAATGTGGCCAGTAGTCTAAATAACTCAATACTTTTTATTCACTCTGAAAAAGTAGTTTATATTAAGTCACGAAACGTCAGAAATATAATGTTGCGACTCATTGGGACATAACAAAAGATATATTTATTATTACTTACACTATGCTTAAATGTTAAATAATTGGAGATAATCGGCAGAAAACCCTGATCAACCAAGATTTCGTGCTAGCTGAAACTCGTTCATAAAAGTTGCTTGGAGTTTTGAAGGACCTAACGCCCTTTAGTATATTCAAACTCGAGTGGTCTATTTCCATAAATTGAGGTGTTATCACTATGCTATTCGGGCAGAGGCTAAGCTCTTGTTATATTGAGATATATACAGCTGATTGACTTAAAATACTGCAAGTAACTGCCCAGTGTTATTTTACCAGATTCAGGCCATAAGTTTTGTTCAAGACTTTCCCCGACTTGTTTAACATTTAAGATATAAAGTATATTGGAAGAATATTGAACAAGAGATAGGGTTTGGCAAGCCTAGACGAGACATCAGTTCATGAATTCAATGAATACGGTTCTGAGCCGCTTGGTAGGGGCATACGATGTGATTAAGACACTCCCGAAAATCATGATCAGTGGTGATGATTTCGATATTCTTCCATTCTTTTTTATTTCGTGAATTCATTCTTTCATTTTTAATCATATTATGCAACGTTTATTCTTATTTACAGTTACTGACATTAATGTTATTTTGACTTCTTTTTACTAACTAACTTGTTATTTTCATCTCGTTGCGCTTATTAGTGTATTGTGACAACTTGGATCAGTCAGAGGACGGATCTGAAAAAGAAGCTGAATTAGTGGTGGTCCTAGCGACCTGGATAATTGTTTTTCTGTACAACTTTACTATGTTCATTATGACTGACTGACTAACAGTAAAATTCATGTATATAAACCATGGCGTAGAGAATTCAAAATGAGAGAACTAGCTCCAAACTTAAACATTGAACATAGATGACCCTGGATGTCTGTAATAAAAGTATCTTTTATAATATTTCTTAAATTATGGAAAATTCTTTTTAGAGAATATTGTTTACCACATACACAGAAGATATTCAACAGATTGCTTACCATTATTATTCACAGGTTCATTACTAAATTTTACAAGTGTTTTATATGAATTGAAATTTGTACCATGTTTCGTTTTATTCAATGTTTGATTTGTTGTTGTTGACAGATCATTATCCTCTTTTAATAAAGTTTGACGACAGAATAAATGACCAATTTTAATAAAATACAAATCAACATCCCAAATACATAATTCATCAATCAAACGAGATAATGCATAAGCTGAGAATTGACATGGAACTAATATTAAACCACAGAGACGATTAAATGAGACATCGTTATTATTGTTTGTAGAAGCAGTCATGTCAGATGATTCTTGGCCTATAAATCCGGAACGATTATGATTTTTATTATGTCGATTATCAGTATTCAAAACAGCACGATAAACTAATGTGGAAGGATCAACATCTGGTCTAATACCGCCATTGTTTAATGTAGATGCGGGAACAAAATGAAGATCGTGTAAATTGAACGAATTAATTAAAGAGTTCGATCTATCTAAGAATGGAAAAATAATAATAAATTAACGGATTTCTCCTATTTATTTAGTACACACAAAATCTAATGAAGTTGAGCACAAAAATAGTGTAAATACTCGAATACCTTGATATGACTGAGAGTAGAAAGAACCCACTCTCCCTCTTTTTTAGCAGTTGGTAGAGAAAAGACAGTTGAAGGATACTGATATTAATTACATGGTTCCCATAGTTATAGAAATTTTTATACAGACATTTGAACAAAAACATAATTATTTGTTATGTTGTGCGGTTGTCCGAGTTTGATAGTGATATAAAACCTTCAAATACCCACGCGAAGCCCAAACCAGCTACTTGAATGAGAAGGCCAATAGAGTGAGAGCAAGTTTTATTGACTAAAACCAAGTCAAGTATATACGAACATTCATTCGTAAATAAGCAAATTTTTCCCTCAGAAACTGAAGTCACATTTTTAACAAACGGAATTTCCTTTCTTAAAATATGAAATAATTGGCCTATATCTGGTTGACCCAACATATTATTATATATCGAAATTTAAAAAAAGATTTCTCAATTTTTACTTAAACAACTGATAGTTCACAAGGGGTTTTATGGATATTATAGTAATTTTAATAGTTGAGATCATGAATCAATTGAAGCTAGACCACCATGGAAAACCTGAAAGCACTGGGCGACCGTTGGATGCCTGTTCAGTGGTCTAGAGGATAGGCGCTTGCGCGTGAAACTGATAGGTCCTGGGTTCGAATCCCGCGAGGCGGGATCATGGATGCGCACTGTTGAGAAGTCCCATAATAGGACGAAACGGTCGTCCAGTGCTTCCTGGTTTTCTATGGTGTTCTAGTTTCAATAGATTCATGATCCCAACTATTAAAATCAATTGTTCAGTAGGATGTACATGGATTACACTGAAATATTAACATACTTTTACGTTTACGACTTTTGGATGAGAAATTTAAATTTTTCATGGATTGCGTAGAAAGCCGAGATCTGTTGGTGAAAACACATACGTACACAACAAAAAGCTTTAGATGAATAAATGTTATAAACATTATGAGAAATTGCATATTAAAATGAAAGATTGAGACATTATCACAGATATGGATCAAAATAGAAGCCAATAGAAACTTTCTTGTAGTTTCCTTTTACATTTTTAAAGAAAATGGTATGATGAAGGCTCTTAACTGTAAGAATCTCCCTTGGTTGTATGACGAACCTGAACAGTATCTTCACTTTAATACTATTGTTGTTCACTTGGTTTTCTCCATTTTAGTACTTATTTTTCCTTCATTTTTTCATGATGTTATCATCTCTTTAGTTGTATGTTGTATACTTTTATTAGTGCTTAGTTATGCCTAAATTTATGTATATTAAGTAAATGAATAGATAAAATTAAATGAATCATGATATTGGTACAAAAACAAATTGTAATTGTTCTATAATTAAATGCAATCGAATAACATATGAACATATGAATTTATATGATCATTTGATTGCTTCACATAAGAGATTGACAAACAAAGGACCGTTAAATGCATTGTTGAATAACTGTACAAAATTGACATTATATGTATTGTTATCAGTATATGAGTTGTGGAGATTGTTGAGTTTTAATTTAAATCATGAACCGACCAATGTTAAGCCAACATTGAAAACCTGGAAGCACTAAACGGCAGTTTCTTCTCAATATGGAACACCTCAACAGTGCGTATTTACGATCTCCAACGCTGGACTCGAACTCAGGATCTTCGGTCTCGGGCATGAATACTTAGCCTCTAGGCTACTGTGCCGGGATCTTAATTTTAATACAATGACTAATCGTTAAAATATTGTTTCACATACACATGCCTTTTTAATATTTTCAAACTCTCTCATTGTGTATGCAAGCGAACCAGTGACGATAAACTTATAGACAAACGAATCAGGCTTAAGATAAAAGTCAATGAATTTTCTTGCAAAATTTAAAACACGGTGATAAACAGCTTAGATGTTATTAAGTGCTAAGTAGAACATAAGTGAAACCTATCAAAACTTGGTTATTGAGACGTTTAAAAGTAATAAACACGGATAGATTAGACAGAATCATGAAGGTAAATTAAAGGTTTTTGATATTTAGAATTGAACAACTGCAAATGTATTCAGCCATATACTTAAAAATCATTTTTAAATCCCATTCCTAGACATCACTCTTAACCGTAAACTTAAATCTGAACAAAAACCCAACCGTAACCCTAGATTCAATCATCAGTATTCTAACTGGCCTCCAAATGCCATGATACGGCCGAGAGTGCGGAGAGTTCGCTCTCCCTCTAGAAATGCTCTCACATGGCCACGTACACACAACCACTGACGGGAAGTCATACTGACTGCCTTCTAGCAGCATTACTGTTGTTTACGAATTCGAGGAGAAAAGCCCTCCGTCATACTTCACAGCTTCTTCAAAATCCAAGAAAGGTTGATTCGCGAGGAGCACGCTAGTCTTCTTCTGGTTGAGGACGTATTAATCGTATCTTCACACTCCATCAAATGTTAGAACACCGTCATTATTATTACAGGTGAATGATCGTAGTGTTTCTTGACATTAGGGCTGTCTTCGATTCGCTGGACAGGACTGTCCTTTGGGATCGTCTAATGAAGAAGGGTGTGTCTAAGGAGTTTACTAACATCTTAAAAGCCCTATATACAAACACCTCAGGCAGAGTGAGGATATACAACCCCCTTTCTCCATTGTTCCACTCAAGCAGTGGGGTTAGGTAGGGTTGCCTAATCTCACCATTCCTTTTCAACTTTGTTATCACTGACGTTCTGGAAACAGCTCTAATGGATGTTAGTAATGGTGGTGTGGATTTGTTGACTGGAAAAAGACTTCTCGACCTTGAGTATGCGTGTGATGTTGTCTTACTGTGCGTTAATGCCCAAGCCATGCAATTCACACTAAATCTGTTGAAAATTAGTGCCCATAGGTATGGTATGTGCTTTGCACCTTCAAAGTGCAAAGTACTTTTACATGATTGTTAGAACCCTCATCCTGCACTTACCCTGGGTAGTGAGCAAATAGAAATAGTCGAGACGTTCATGTATCTAGGTAGCTGCATAAGTGCTGGTGATGGTGTGAGTGATGAGATCGATTCACATATAGTGAAAGTCAGAGCGGCTTATGCAAATCTGGGCCATCTTTGGCATCTTCGTGATGTTAGTCTGGCTGTAAAAAGTCGGATCTACAACATGTCGGTGAGAGGAGTTTTGCTCTCTGCTTGTGAAACCTGGCCTCTCTCAGTTGAAGATGTTAGACGACTCTCTGTGTTCGATCATCGTTGTCTCTGAAGGATTGCTGACATCCAGTGGCAACAATGTTAGTAATGCAGAGGTTGAGCATCGTATGCCCGGGCACAGAGACAATAATCCAATTGGTGTCACCATCTTGAAACATCGACTTCAGTGGCTTAGAAATGTGCTACGAATTTCGTCCTACAGAATTCCACATTGTATATTGTTTGCCGACAGTGAGACCAGTTGGAAAAAGCGGAGGTAGCCAGTACATGAAATGGTGTCATGGTATGACAGAAAGCTGTACAGGACTGGTTTCTGTTGGTCCTTCACAACTTCCTGCTTGGGGTCATAGAGACGGTGCAACACAGTGGCTTCAGACGTTATTAGAAATGGTTCAGAATAGAAACCAGTGGCAATCCTGCTCTAACTTATTTTACTTTCTTCATAAAAGTGAACGTAACTTCTTTAACTAAAAGAATTATTTCTGGTTGCATTTTTCCTAACTGAACTGCTTCTTCCACTGTTACGATTATTATTATCATTACTTCACTCTCACAAATTAATTTCTATTCATCGTTGCTCTTCTTTTTATTACACTTACCCTCCGATTTCTATCTTTTCGAAAATTTATTGTTACCGTGTGGAGCATATGTATTTTGTGCCTACTCGTAACAATGTTTGTGTCCAAATAAATAAATCCATCGTACTTATAAGCAGAAAGTAGGCAATAACTGAGCGGTGGATGAGTGGTGAATGTGTTCGACTTACAGCCACGCTTGAACCCCGCTTCACCTACCCCCTGGCCCTCAACACTTAGAGTGTGACCCAAAGCCAAGCACAAGAATATGCACCATAAAATGAGTTAATATATTAAAAATTAGGGTTTACCTTTTGAAAGAAAGAGTAAACTTACTTTGTAGAATTTAAACTACGAACACTTCGTGTATCATCATCATCGTCTGATAAACTACTCATTGTATCCGACATACTATCAGACAAGGAATCTACATCACATGAGATGAAACCCATCGACGATAGTGAAGAATTTGATATTTTAGATGTTTGACAACGACTATTACGTTGTCGACTCCCACCCTTTCGGTATTTCTTATTGTTTGTTGTAATTATTGGTGGATTTTTAGCAGTAGGCAATTCAGCTACTTCTATACGAAAATTCATACTTGGTTTGTACAATTTTAATTGTTCAATAAGGTTTAATACTTTAGGCGATATCATACGTTGAAATTCTTCCAACGTTAATATCCTATTGAGAAAAGCAACAAAAATAACTACATGTGAAATTTAAAAGTGGTTTACATTTATAGATGAATGTAGACTATATTCCTGATTCTAGCATGTTATTAAAAAAATATGTTAGTACAGTCGAACTCATCAAAAGAATTACTGAATAATGACAGTTTAAGTAAAGACTATAAATAAATCAAGGATGGGAACGAAGTGTTTGATAGCAAATAAGAAAGAGAATTAAACGTCTATCACAAATTTAATATCAAAGTTTATACTTGACAGATGAAGATTAGATAACGGAATTATATTTTCTACACTTTTGAGTAACGTGACTCAGTAATCAAGTAAACAGTTGTGTAACTAGTTTCTGATCACATATTTTGTGTGCGGGACAGGTATACTACCCAGTTATCTAAAGTGGATATGGTTCAAACCTGCGATTTAGTGGTAAACAGAGGACGTTTTGACCATTACCCTTCAATTTACTTTTCAACTTGTAAACGAAGACGTAAAATTCATGCTTGTAATTTAAACAATCGGTTGTAAACCAGTGAACTCGTACAATCAAAACCAAAACACTACCTATTCCCGTTTGGTTGTTCATATAAAATCAATAGATTACGAATGATGATTAGTGTTTCAGTCAGCCAGCCAGTTATACACAAAATTAAACATGATACATGTATATTGGTTCCATTTGTCATACCACATTAGCAGAGCGCAGCGAGATAAAATTACTCCAAAACAAATACCAGAGTAGCAAAAGTACTGAAAGTATCGGGAGTGTTAGAAAAGATTATGTAAGAGAAATAAACAAAAAGGTATTAGGGGATTTCGGGACACAGGTTTGAGAGAAAGATAACGAGTGAATGCACCTCCAACATTACGAGCGATCCTTAGGTATGTCATCCAAACTCTTTGACCATTGGTTACGATAATCATATGGACTTCAACCGGGTAGTCTATAACTATTAACATAGCTCAGTTCAACTGCCAATGAGTTCATGGGCTCGTGGCACTTCTTGAATAACAGAGTGTTAAGACTATGGGGCTCTGATTCTAATCGATATACCCGAGACAAACTTTATGAAATGAAAGTTAAGGACTTGTGATTTAGTGGTTAGAAATCATATATCTGGAACGTAGATTTTTTTGGATTTGCATCAACAATAGCATCAGTGATAGGTCACAGAGTGCTGTTTTGAGTACACTCACTTCTACAAAAGACCTTGAATCTCCTAAAAAAAAGTCTACTTAAAACAATTAAAACAATAAATAAAGTTGAAAGGTTTCTCTATGAAAAAAAGGCAAACATAACATGACAGCAGTACACTTGGACTTGAAGTAAACATAGTTTAAGAGCGAAGAGAGCCACAATACAAGCAAATATCCATTTGTCAAGTGAAAATTTTTACTATAACCATAACAGTAATCAGTAAAATCTAAAAGTGGAGAAAGACTACATGTTTTTTTACTTATTTACAGGGAAAAAATACAAAAGAGAATGTTAACTTACGAGTCGAATTCCATTTGAAATAAACGACTAAGAAAACACATCTGTGTTACAGTAAGACGTAAAAGATAAGATATACGATCTTCATTATCATTTATTTTAGGTATGGTAATTGAATATTCATTATCTTTAAGTATGTCTGCTTTATATGATGATTTACAAGAAGTAGATGAATTTGGTTCTTTCTCTCCTTTTTCTTTTTCATCATTATTCACCAGTTCACAGTTTTTAAGAATTTCACTACGCTGTCGGTCTAATGCAATTAAGTGTTTAGCAAATACACGAACAATTTGTGCAGCACACCATAAGCCTAATTCATTTAATATTTCTTCACATTGTGATATAGCACGTTTACAATAGTCAAGTACGCAAATACGAAAACCTCCAGAATTAATGACCACTGATGTAGAATCACCTATTGATGAACTTTTTGTACAAGGTAGATTGGATTCTATATCGATGATGAATTCTTTAATCTCTCGAAAAACTCCTAACATAAACTGATGGAAAGGTATTGTAGCAATTGAGGACGATTTGGAACACAATATAACACGTTCTTGGGGTCTCGCACCTAGTGAAAGCATAGTTAATAACTCTGAAGCAGTTTCAAGTCGACAACTAGTTCTTTTTTCAAGTGTTTGCAAGCGTAATCGTGCCTTTTGAAAAATAAAAATAGAAAGACTGGTATTACTTATGCATTAAATCCTACAAATTTACCAACAATTCAGAAAATTTTGAATTAATTAGTATACGGAGGTCCGCTCAGATTGAAGAAAGCTTCAACCGCGAACTGACATTAACTAGAGGACCACTGAAAACAAAGTAAAAATGAATGGTCTTTGTTTTCCTTTGCGACATTTTACAAACGTGAAAGCTTAGCATAATACGGTATATCGAGTTTAGGAATTTCAGGTCTTGTGGTGAATCGTGGTTGAGGATAAGCATTCATTAATAACGTTAGATGCTGCTTGTAAACAAACGAAAATCGAAAAGATGAGTCATTTGATTCAGTGAAAATTAGCATGAACGATGGAAGTACTAAATTGTTTATTCTGTTTGGCACACAGTTAAAAAGTGATTAGTTCTATGCATATATAAAACCTCTGCATAATACTGGATGATTCTTAATGGTTTGCCATCCGATGGTGACTATCTTCAGGACCGAAAATCGTGTACTTACTGTTGTTTGAGTTTTACAAACTTCATTATTCGTAAAAGTATGGTATAAGACTACAAATTATACAGTTGAAAATTAATTATAGCCTGATGGTTTACGTACCATTATTTCAGTCTAACTGTAATTTTTGGCAGCCAAAGTGAACCACAATCAATTTATAAATACATTAAATGTTACACATGTTTTCTGTATTCTATTTATTTTGATATGAAAATAAATCCTTCCAATCTCTGGAAAAATATGGAAAGTGCAGTCATCGCGAATTGCTTTGTTATTTACTAGTAACACTTAGGAAGTACTTAGTACAATAGGAAACCAAGAAAAATGCTACACTAATAAGTGGAGATAATAAAAATGATCTGACGTTTGGTCGACAGTAATTCCGACAGATGATTGCGGGGAGAAACGCTCAGAAACAACAACCATCTTGGTCTGATACTAAAACAAAAGCGCTTTAAAACTAAGGGTGAAATAATGGCCATTTTGTCATACAGTGTCACTTCGCAGAAGTATAAATCCTTGATACATTTAATAAAACCCAAGAAAACGTATAACTCCGCCCGTAGCACCTCCGGGGGCTATTGCCGGTCTCAAGACCGGATAAAGGAGGAGGGTTGGGCATGAGGTTAGCGACCCCATCCCGTACAAAACTAACTCACTAAAAAACGCTAACCAGAAAAAACTATTCAAATCATTTAAACTCTTCCTTAGGAGTTAGAAAGTCTTCATTTAGAAGAGTTATGACGCGTAATTGTGAAAGCCGAGTTCCTTTGGTAGCTACGAGGCCAATGCCGCTTTTAACAAGCAGAGCAACAATTTATCTAGATGCATGGAATGCTCGTACAATGTGGGAAACCGGGAGTCTTCCAAATTGCTGCAGAAATGAGGAGAAACAACCTGGAGGTGCTTGGGATCAGTGAAACATATTGAACGCAGGTTAGGCAACAAGGAATATCTTCAGGGGAGCTTCCGTTATACTCCAACCGTGAAGAAGAAAATGTCTCACATACACAAGGAGTTGCATCGATGCTGTCCAAACAAGCACAAAATGCAGTTATAGGATGGGAATTTCATGGACCAAGGACCATCAGAGCCTCCTTCAAAACAAAGAAAGAGGGCATTACAATGAACGTCATCCAATGCTAAGCGCCTATCGACAATTACAATGGAGACATTAGAGATCAATTCTACGATAGACTACAGTCGATCGTCGAGAAGTGCCCAACAAAGGACCTGACCATTCTGATGGGAGATTTAAATGCCAGGGTTGGAATGGATAACACTGGGTACGAAGACGTCATAGGACGACATAGACTGACTGGGAGAAAGGGACGAAAATGGTGAGAGATTTGCAAACCTATGTGCCTTCAATAAAATGGTCATAGGTAGCACTATGTTCCCACACAAACGCATTCACAAAACCACATGGACTTCACCGGATCACATTACGCAGAACCAAATCGACCATATCTGCATCAATACAAAGTTCAGGAGGGCGATAAAGGATGTGAGAGCCAGGAGAGGAGCTGATATAGCATCAGATCATCATTTGCTACTCGCCAAGATGAAATTAAAACTTAGGAAGCACTGGACAACGGGGCGAAAAACATCACAAAAGTTTAATATAGCCTTTCTTCGAGATACTGACAAGCTCAACAATTTCAGGATAGGCCTCGGCAACAGGTTTCAGGCTTTTCATGATCTACTCAATGGAGAGATAACTACTATGGATAGCAACTGAAAAGGGATAAACGAGGCAATCATTTCAACGTATTAGGAGGTTCTGGTCAATAAGAAGCCCCATCACAAGTAATGGATCACTGTCGATACATTGGATAAGATTCAAGAAAGGAGGAACAAGAAGGCAACAATCAATACCAGCCGAACAAGTGCAGAAAAAGCCAAGGCACAAGCCGAATACACAGAAGTAAACAAGAAAGTGAAGAGGAGCATCAGAAGCGACAAACGTAAATAAGTGGGAGATTTAGCAATGACGGCGGAAAAGGCTGAAAGAGAGAGAAACATGAGACAACTGTATGACACAACAAGGAAACTCGCTGAAAATTACCGTAAGCCAGAACGACCAGTGAAAATCAAGGAAGGCAGGGCAATCAACAACATTGAAGAACAATGAAACAGGTGGGTAGAACACTTCAAAGGACTCTTGAGTCGACCAGCTCCATTGAACCAACCCAACATCGAAGTAGCACCCACGGACCTCCTAATCGATGTTGGCCCACCAACAATTGAAGACGTCAGCATGGCCATCAGACAAATCAAGAGCGGCATAGAAGCGGGACCAGACAACATTCCAGCAGAGGCACACAAAGAAGATGTAGCAGCAACTGAAAAGATACTCCACATTCTCTTCAGTAAGATTTGGGATGAAGAACAAGTACCAACAAACTTGAAAGAAGGACACCTGATCAAAATACAAAAGAAAGGCGATCTCGGCAATTGTGATAACTACAGGGGCATCACTCTTCTCTCAATATCAGGAAAAATCTTCAACAGGATATTGTTAAACAGATTGAGAGACTCCGTAGACGCCCAACTTTGAGACCAACAGGCTGGATTTCGTAAGGATCGATCGTGTAAAGACCAAATCGCAATTCTACGTATCACTGTAGAACAATAGATTGAATGGGATTCATCAATCTACATCAGCTTCATTGACTACAAGAAAGCATTTGATAGCATGGACAGGACAACACTATGGAGGCTTCTTCGACACTATGGCCTGCCTGAGAAGGTAGTCAGTGTCATACGGAATTCTTATGATGGGTTAGACTGCCAAATTGTTTATAGAGAACAACTCGCCGACCCATTCGAAGTAAAGACCGGTGTCAGACAAGGTTGCTTACTCTCACCCTTTCTCTTTCTCCTAGTGATTGACTGGATTATGAAGACGAAAACATCTAGAGGGAAGCACTGGATACAGTGGACAGCTAGGATGCAGCCGGATGGTCCAAACTTCGCAGCAACAACCTACTGTGGGAGAGAACAAACTAGAATTCAGCGAGCCCCCAAATGCCCTGATACGACCGAGAGTGGGGAAAGTCCGCTCTTCCTCTCGAAATACTCTCACATGGCCATGCGTAATATAGCCTCTGTCAGGGAAGTTCTACTCACTGCATTCTAGTGGCATTACTGTTGTTTACGAAATTGAGAGGACGAAAAGCGAATGTCCAGCACTTTAACCGGGTTGGCGGACACGGAAAGTCAATCTAGGGGAGTTGGAAAACCCTGATTCCAAACCAATGGTGCACATGGGCTCCAGTATCCTGAATGAACGAATGGCGTATGAACCACTTGTTGGTCACCGGCCACAATAAGAATGCATCTCCTCACGATGCTCCACTGCCTTGTGGATCAGACCTTTAGGTCAAAGGCTCCGGGTGTGGCCCCCTAAGAAAACCACCTGCTTCAGTTTGGGCACCTGAACAGTATCACAGCCCTCACACAAATCTCATTTGATTCGTGTAGCGTATATGTATCTGGTACCCGTTTGTACCAATATTTATGTGTATAAATGAAATAAAATAGAAAAGAATTCAGCGGAGGAGGAGGAGATCAGGAAGAAGCGCTGGAAGTTAATAGGATACATATTGAGGAAATCATCCAATTGTCACAAGGCAAGCCCTCACATGGAATCCTGAAGGCTGAAGGAAAAGAGGGAGATCAAAGAGCACATTACGCCGAGAAATCGAGACAGACGTGAGAAAAATGAACAAAAATTGGATAGAACTAGAAAGGAAGGCTCAAGACAGAGTGGGTTGGAGAATGCTGGTAGGCGGCCTATGCTCCATTGGGGGTAACAGGCGTAAGTAAGTAAGTAAGTAAGTAAGTAAGAAAACATATATCACCTAAATATCACGGGGTTTGGTTTGGGTCATTGGGACATTTTCAATCTTGAGTAGTTTGTGAAACATATAAGTGTTGCATTTAGAATTTAAAGTCGGATATATTGCATAAATAGTTGATCATTTAAGCCAGATGTCCGACAGCCTTATATAATGAGGAGAATTCCCTCAAAACTGTGTACTAGAATATTACTTTGGCTATTATTTTATGACCAGGTTTTCCTATAGAAAGACGCGATCTGTAATCCCAAAGAAAATAGAAATATGGGACTATAAAACGTATTTAGGTTTCATTAGACAAACACTTGAAAAATATAAAGACCGCGTCTTTAGATTATAATTACCTTTTCTGGATCTGTTATTTCTCTAGGCAATAAGGCCGATGTAAAGCATAAGATTCTGACTTTTCCGGTTACTGACACATTAAATTCACTCATGTTTTGTCTAGTAGCCGTTGGTCCAAAGTCTTCTGTGTTTTGAAGCATTGGACCATTTGGTCCAAACACTATTGATAATGGATGATTTGAATCTAAAACCATATGACATTCATCGACTACCAGGAGGTAAAAATACTGAAAAACAAAAAAATTATGGCACAAAACTTGTATTAGTGGGCTATTTTTAGTAATCCAGTAAACTTAAGATTGTTTCATATATATTAAATCAACTCCAACAGTGATTTTGACTATGAATGAGAGAGATACCATTCATTCTTCAGGAAACAAAACTGGTTATATTAAGAAGTATCGAGTACAAAAGTTCATCAACTAATAAAATTCTTAAATAATGAGAACTTTACTGTCAGTAATAAAATACTCCCGCGATATAAAAATTATCATCATACTAGGCTTCGTCTAGCTGTAAAACATTTGAGTTTAGGAAAATTACAGTGTAAAAACCCATCAACTATTTCGATTATTGCCTATTCATACTGAATAGCTTTTTTAAAGTAACACGCTAGTTGAAGTTGAACCGAATACATTTGAGAACAGTTATACAAATATATGTAGTTTATCTTACCGCTAATGGGTATTTACAAGAGCTGAAGATTTCTTAGATAATATTCATTCGACAACCAAAACCTGTGATTGAAAGCTCCAAATGCAAATAATCTAAACGACTGCTGCAACACATACCTATGAGTTTTAATTTAATATCTGTTACGGTGGGAAATTTTAATGTAGATTTGGTAGTTGGAGATGATCACATTGTGTGAGCTTTAAAGGTTACCATAAAGTTTATCTAGCTAAATAAACTAGTAGAATAATTCAGTGTGGATTTTTCCTATATGCTAAAAAGTTAAAAAGCTCACCTGGTGAATAAGCTTTGTGAAAAAATTAACTGAGGACAGCATTACGATGACTGGAATCAGCCAAGGTGACAATAGGATAATATCATATTTTCGTACAACAGAAGTTAAACAATCCATGAAATCTTTCTTTACGTTGTTTTGTTCATCGTATTTGAAAATATAACAAGACAATCCAGTATGGTGGGTTAAAAAGTTGTCTACTGAATTCATTTTAGTGTCTAAAAGGAAACTATGTAACTTAACAATATAGAACTAACCATCGGTGAAGTAAATTATCTGCTTGCCCGGATTGTCGAAGCGCATTTCGCGGATTAGATTAACGACGAAAAACATTTTATTTAGTTCATTTGATGAGCATATTATTGTATTTCTTTCGTAGGCAGCATCTAGTAGGTCTAGCTATAATAAATAGTGCGAATAGAAATAAGACAAAAAACACGTAGTAAATAGGTGTGTGGTACAGCAAACGTTATTTTAAAACCAGAGAAGTTATGACATGTGCGAAATCAGTGATTCTTTGCAGACTGACTAAAAAGGAAATATATACATTTTTCAAAATGTGGGAGCTGACCGTTTTATTTTTTAACACAAATTCGGAAACAACACGTTCTATTGTTTTCTGCCTTAAGATCATGACTAAAAATACATAATATACAATTGTACCAGGAAAATGTGAAGTATGACCACTCTCATCTACAGGTAAGGATTTTCACTTACACATAATCCAAAGGAAAACCACTTTTGAAAATTGAAATCTTGTAAGAGTAAACTTGAGTCAACCAGAATCAGTGTACCGACCGACAGAAATGTACAAAGGATCAAGTTTTCAAGTATTATGTCGGTATAGTGACAGACGAGAATTCAAAATAACAATAATATGAAATATTTTGAGAAATTACTTAAAAGTGAAATTTTCAGCAATCGCCCTCAGAAAATTGGTTAAATTAGGTGATTAGTGTTTTAATCAGAGCCTTTTTAGATTGAATATGAGAAAAAACCTGGACCACCAGTACAGACCATTTTTGTAGATAGTAAAATCGTTTTCAATGTAAAAAAAGTTACCAAAATGTAGTTTTTAATATGTTAGCGTTTGAAATCTAAGTCATTGCTCTAAAGTTTGAATGGTCACTAAAAGTAAATGCCTAAAAACATCACTTACTGACGAACATTAGATGCTGAAAAAAACAGAATCACAGATCACACTAAGTATTGCCGCCAACATTCAGCGTATCGGGACTAGACCGAAGCAATATCACCAACGAAAAGCAGATATTAAATTACATATTTCTAGAGACGGATATCACAGTATTCTGGCCATAAATCGACAGAGATTATCAAAATATTAAACGATATATTTGCTCCCAACGATACAGCCTTTAAAATAAATACACACGTCTTTAAGAATTCTGTACTATAATGTTAGAAGAAATTATAGATACCATTTTCTTTGTCTATCTGTTAGTTTATTACGGGTGAAGCGAGACTATAATTTACGGACGAACTATTTACGTATAAGACAAAAGATCTCGGCGCGAAATTTACACATCCATTTTGATTAATAGTTTTGGCATTATAGCTGATGTCACTTCTTGATGAAAACCCGAAATCTAATTCCTAATCCTAAACATCAGCTGGAAATACTAATCCTAACTCATCACACAGGTTTATAACACTCATTTCGTCCTGGATATTAGGTGGACACTCTTAAAGTCACTTTAGCGTTACTGAAAGATCATCCATAAATTATAGTCTCAACGAAAAGATTTACGAGTCACAATCGAAAATGAACGTAGAAACATGAAATAAATGGTGAGCTATAATTAGGCTTACAAGAGATAGATAATTATGTCAATAAATGATAATGATAATAATAATTGATATAGTTCGAACAATATCAGCTCATGATCATGAGCTGGAAAGTTTAAAAGTACCAGCGAACTTGTGGGAAAATGCTACTTGACCACTTGAGCAACAGGAAAGACAGGTATTCTCATTGTACGGTAATGCTGCTGAAAATTCTAAGTAATATGTTAGTCTATTCTGAGTAGTTAGAAACAACGCATTGTTGTGAAAGTCAGAGCCCATGTAAATAAAGAAATACTTTTACACACCTGATAAGACGGCGGAAGAAAGTGATCATTTGGGACATTTTTCAGAATTCTTTTAGCAATCTGGTACTTAACATCTCTACGAAATACCATCTTCACGACTTAGCAGTTGTCCAAGGCCAAATTTGGTTTCACCGCTGATTATAGCTGAAAGTATTCAGTCTTCAGTCTTAGTCTTCAGTAATAAGGATAGAAGGTCTAGTGACCTATTTTAATCCTTGCAGTTTGTTACACTGTGGAGGTCCAATCTCGTCTTGAATATATCAACAGAAGGTGCTGATATTACGTGTTCTGGTAGAGAATTCCAGTAATTCACTACTCGGTGCGAGAAACGAAACTCCAGACGTAGACGATTTGATCTCGGTTTTTGGACTTTCTTTGAATGTCCTCTCAAATGCTCAGCCCTAGACGGGAGGAAAAGATAGGACATGTTAGTACCAAGGTCATCGTTCAGGATACGATATGCCAATATTAGATCACCCCGTATTCGCCGGTAAGATAACGGAAATAAGTTGAGGTGTCTCAGTCTGTCTTCATAAGATAGGCTAGATAAGCCTTTTACCATTTTTTTCCCGCGGCGTTGGACTCGTTCCAACATATCCGCCTCATATTTGAAACAAGGACTCGCTGCTTGAATCCCATATTCCAAATGTGGCCGGACGAAAGTTGGGTATAATAATCTAAACATTTCCCCATCCAGATACCGGAAAGATCTACGAATAGACCATAATGCCCTATAGCCTTTTGCAGCAGCAGCAGCCTTACAGTGACTGGTTGTTTTGAGATCATTACTTAGTATGACTCCTAAATCTTTATAGTTTCTTACTTTGGGCAACACTAGTCCACATAATGTGTAGTGATACGAATCATCGTAGTTATTTAATTGCATCACAACACTTTTATTAGGGTTTACTTCTAGTGACCACCCATTCATCCATGCAACTAGTGAGTTAAGATCTTCCTGTAAAACTATTCTGTCTGACATACTATATATGAGTCTCCAAATCTTAATGTCATCGGCGAATAGTAGGACGGATGACTTAGCTATAGCTGGTAATTCATTTATATAAAGTAAAAAGAGAAGAGGACCTAAAATCGTGCCTTGGGGGACTCCACTTTTTACTGGTTCCCACGATGAGAGAGCCCCATTTACTCTTACCCGTTGTCTCCTTTCATGAAGAAAGTCACTTAGCCAGTCTATGACTGCATAATGAATTCCAAAACTCTCTAGTTTCAATTTAAGACCAGAATGGGAAACCTTATCAAAGGCTTTACTTAGATCTATGAAAATGACATCTACAGGAATATTGCGATCTTTTGCCTCAGTCCAATCTTCTCTTGCAATGAGAAGATTTGTCAAACATGATAGACCTTTTCGAAAACCATGTTGTTCCTTTGACAAAAGATCATGTCTTTCCACGTAGTTTATAACAGCCATCCTAATAATCTTTTCCATTAGTTTTACAACTGCACTAGTTAAGCTGACGGGTCGAGTATTTTTGTAATGCACTGAAATAACCCAGTTGACGACCTTGTTTACATGTTCTGATATTATGAAACGCTTTCAAAGGAGTTTTGTGGTTCATCGATCTGTGTTTAGCCGATGAGCTATGAAAGTCATTAAGAATTTGTGTACTTTAGTTTTAATATGTTTCAAAATTCAGGAGGAAGAATAGAATGTATGTTAGCGCTAAAGAAATTCATTAGTTTGTTATATGAGGCTAAAAACTGAAATGTATGCACTCTCATATTAGAAGACGGTCTACTTTAGTTAGAAATCAAAATGTACAGTCAATACCATGGGTTCTCTTGATTTTGATGAATAACCTTACATATTAGTAAACGAGTCCTCAAAAAGCTTAGTCCTATTAATTTGTGACATTTTTACAGACTTTTTTAGAACCACTTAGCATACTGTTGCTGAAGGCGCTCATCAATCATTGTCACCAGATAACCATTGTGTACTCCGTGTAGCTGTAAATAATTCCCCAAAATCAAATGCCCATTAAGTGTTCGACATTGGATGCTGACCACGTTGTTTAAGTGGACTTGTTTAGCTGAAGGCTTTCGGTCATGCATCCGTACCAGATCACGTTGCAACACGGCGTGGGACACAGCTCCTACGTTACAATAGCCAGTTAAGAACGAAGTCTCTCGATATATTGGTAACGAATCAAATATATCTTTCCTGTCTCTCCTCGTCTGACTTCTGGTTTCTATTCGACTGGGAACAAACGATTATAGAAGATACTACTGGTTGCTAGTTGCAAAACTAGAATATCCGTTGTATCCTCATCCGCATATCCCACAACTATCAGCCTGTGGTGGTATTGATCAATAACTTCACCATCTTTAAAACCAAACAGATAGTTGCTGAGAAGACTTACATCTAACATAGGACACTTAGAGAAGGTGAAACCTAGTTTACACGGAAGCGTATTCTAAATGTCATGGCTCGGCGATGCTGATGCGGTCACTCTGCTTAATTTTTTGCTTTTCGTATAGAATATATTACTCTCTTCTTAGCCAAAATGTGATCTCCAGAAGTGATAAACGTCATATTGCTGATTACCACGACAGGAATAGTCAGTGTGGACTGTTTTTTGACTTCCACGCAATATCTTACAGATTAAGTAGTCGTATCTTAACAAATACAAAATTTTGGAATTAGATCTATTATTGTAGTAACAAAGATAAGTGTACTAATACCGAGTGAGACCGAAATTCTACACTGTAATACTGACTAAAGAAACACAGGCTGTTATTAATTCTCATAGTTACTATAAACCACTATTCTATTGGTCTATAATATCGAATAGCATTCGCCTTGCCGGCTCGATCGATACTAATTACTGATCTACCATATTTCTGATTGACAATTATGGTTCCTTGTACACAAGACAATTGTGCCTTTCCAGTTTCTTGGCAGTCTGGACTACAGCAGAGCATTTCAAACAGCAATTACATCCGATATGGCTTTCATAATCCTAGGATGAGTTTCATCAGGCCCACATGACTTATTGGGTTTGCGATACTGAAATAGTCTTAAGACATTACCTTACTTAATAACTGTATGGTCCATCAACAAGCCGCCACATTAGCAATTACACGCTGGTTATTCCTCAATGCTGACAGGAAACACTTCATTAAAATATTCCGATAAAGCTGCAGCATTTTCGACATCATTTCTCGGCAGCATTAACGGATTTTTTTGTGCCATAAGTGATGGAATTCCACCACTTCTCAGAGTCCGCCATTTTATATACGAGAATAACTGGTTCGATCCATATTTACAGTCCCTAACCAACTGTTTTTCGTATAACTTTCTAGTCTTACTTATTGAAGCTTTACAAGCATTCCTAGTTTTACAGTAACTGAATCTGTACTGTTATAAGCTAGTAAAGGTGTTTTTTTCCACATCTAAGAGGTTTCTTGACTTGTTTAGTTATCCATGGTGGACAGTTATTCGGTCTACATGGTACTAGACTTGGTATAAACGAGGATGTAACTGAACCACACTTGCTCTTACATATAAACAATGCTTCAACTGATGAGCCAGTATCTATTGACCAGGTTGTCTCAGCAGCACACTCCGGATAATTCTGAAGTAATGTCGAAGTCATGGACTAACCAAGTTTCCATCACAGCTACAATGAGTGGCCTTAATTTGTTCACTTATGCTCCTAGTTCCCGGAATTTATTTCTTGAACTACTAGTATTGACATACAAAACTCCTGGGGAGAACGGCCTATCCACACAGGCCTTGGTAGCATTCGCTTCCAAGACCTGTCTATTCGAAAACCCACTAGTTGGGAATTTACTTCACCGTTTTGTTCCTGGTTCAGCTAGTGCTACAAATTCATTTGAAACAATTTAGAAGACACTACTACATTGGGCTTCTCAAATAACGTCACCTCTACCAAATATGTAAATAATATATTATTCGAAGTGTCACACTTAGTATAGTCTGCAATGTTGTGTCTGTTTGCAATTTTGATGCATTAATGAGGAATCAGGCGAATATGAGATCATTCTGATCTATAAAGACTCTAACAGTGCAACGGAAATTTTCAGGCGATTTTTGTTTGTTGTCATAGTTTCGCGTATAACCCATTGGTGATCATACGTTCAATCGAAGTCCTTTTTGTTTATATGTGCAATCTAGGTCTCAGGCGGTTGTCCTTGTGCAACCAGCTGTTTGTCTTCTTCCGTGGTCAAGTGGGTCAGAGTTTTACTGTGAAAATGTAGTTAGACGTTAGCAGAAAGGTGTTAAATGTTTAACCTCCTAGTCCTTTTTTTCCAAATGGGGTACACGTCTTGCTCATCTTTTCTGTAATTTTGGCCACTTTAAACGGAATTTCCTCAATAATCGTGGATCATTGCGTTACATTTTGAGTCTTATATCATATTCGATAGGCAAAATGGAGGGTTACTGAAGTCCTGGACAAACGTCTGCATCAGTAAGAGTGCAATTGAAGTTGAACTACGAAAAATAACAAGTGAGAATAAACACTGATGAAATGCCATTTCCATGCAAATTTCAAGTCTCTTGTGAATTGTACAACATTCGTGAATTGTGTGTATATACGAAGCATTTTTGTGATGCTCAGGCAAGAGGTACATATTTTCTGTGCAATGTTGGAAAAATCGATATTCAAGACGTGTCAATTAATCACATTTATGTCAAGAAGTAGATAACTTGGTCGATATTCATTGCAATTTATATGAAAAAAACACTTGTTTTACCTGTCGTGCAAATGCTGGTCACATTTATGGGCAGAATCACTTAAATCTAATTTAGTAGTATCAACTCAGTAAAATTCCGAATAAACTAATTAAAAATGCTGACTTTACTTCCAATTACGTCATAATTGTCATCATTTTAGGTATACGAAAGCACTTTAACTGGTGTAATATCATCCAGTCAAATATTGTATGATCACAATAGGGTCCATTCTGATGCTTAAGGATTAAAGTTCTTCCACTCGGTCTCAGTAATACTGTGAGGTTTATTTTGTAGTTTCCATTGTCGTTGATCCTTAACTTCTGTTACTTTTTTTCCAATAGTCGGTTTAGATTCTTTTCATTTGTTAGTCGCAAGTGATTGACTTCTCATTAGACTGCATAGTTTCTTGTTTAAGGCAGGTCAAACAGTATTGATCTCTCAAAGGGCTTGTTGTAACCGGTTGTTCTGATGTTCTGTCGCGTTCATCGAGAAAAAATTTGGACACCAATAAATAATTGGCTTTTTAGACTCATGCCAGTCTGAAAGAATTGGTCGGGAGATAATTGGAAATAGGTGGCTAACTGTTTGGTGCACTTGATCTTCAGTAGTAAGGTCACAGTTCAGAGCCCTGATCGGCCTATTTTGGCTTAGGGGACCTTGTAGCATTGTAAGCTTTCAACGTAGAAGTACATTCGCGGAGTTGGTGGAATGGCCTTTGCACCGTGTAGCTCTCATCATTTCTTGTAGTATAAGTAGTACAAATGGCAATCAGTGTTGCTGAATTTAACTTTCAATGAATTTGTATCGGTAGTGTAGTTTTGGAAGGGATTAGTTTTCAACTGCTTAACTACGAATTAAAACCTTGTCTTACTTTAGTATACGTAAATGGTTTTCCCGGTGGTTCCTTCTCCCCAAAGTGTGACATGAGCACTAAATTGATTACGGAGTTGTGTCAATGACAATATAATTTGATGGCTTAACACGTAACCTTTTCGATACGCTGTGAATATAGGGAAATTTATCATTATTCTTACTGTTGATTATGCAAATGCTGTTATATTACCCATAATAGGAAAGTAGCTTTGTAATACATAAATAAAGGTTTCTACTTATTGGTTACACTGGGATATTTAACGTGGGGTATGTTTGGATAGTATTGTTTGATGAGACTGATGACTAATCCATGGCGAATATAGAGATTATATACCACTTTTATCTGTTGTAAAAACGAAAACTGATTGTATAAATACTAACCTGTGGACCAGTTAAATGCGTTACAGTAGCCTACATAAAAGTTGTCATTCTAAAAAGACAACTTTTCTTTTGAGGCTATTTTATTTGGATGTTTTCTGTTATATCAGCATCAATTGCTAAATGGTTGGCTATTTTCATAGTTGAAATCATGAGTCAATTGAAGCTAGACCACCATGGAATCGTGGACGCTCACTGCTGAAGAGTCGAATAATAGAACGAAACGGCCGCCCAGTGCTTCCAGGTTTCCCATGGTGGTGTAGCTTCAATTGACTCAAGATTTCAACTATGAAAATACTGAAATCTCCACAAAACCCCTTCTGGTTGGCTATGTGCTCTAAAATTGGTATCAACTGACTTGGACTGATGCATATATGTGCCTGGTCCTACATTGTAACTAACTGACTGAGACTATTTGGCCACATTAAGCTATGTAAATATTTTGGGTTTGAAGGTAATTACTTTGTATCACTACTGGAGTATCATCGATAATGATATTCGTGATTTAAGCTTTGGAAATTCCAAAGTCTCCACAAGTCCTCTAATATTAATAATTACTAGTGGTTAGCTTTAAAATACAACTGGTGTTCTGCTAAGATGCGACCATTGGAGTTCAACTATATCTGGTGTGAGACAGTTACTACTACATAATATATAATTAAACAAAACTGAAATTTCTCAGTGCAAAGAACACGGAGAAAGTAAAAATAAAGGCTCATTATAGACCGCAAATAAATCAAAACTATCTACATACATTAAGTCATATGTTATTTACTTATCTAATCAAAAATAATTGTAGATACGTTCAACTGGCAGTAATTCACTTAAACCAAACAATAGCTAAACTCTTGGATACTGTTCACAACATTAATAAATTGACTGCTCTAACTAACGACTATAACCAGGTTACTATGTTCTATATCCTGGATATCAATAGACAGTCGCTTCTACACTGTTCGATTAAACCTAGCAGTAAGGACTGGAAAAAAGTGTCACACCGTTTCCTTGTCGTTGTCTCAGATTGTACTCCCGCTGAATGAATAAGAAGTTATCCAACCTCCGTCAAAAAGCCAAAGGCTCTGATTTGGTAGTAGTGGCAATTGATTTTGATGTTAAAGTAGCTAAACTAAACCTAACCGAAAGGCACTTAGGTGGATCTTACGTTTTCGCAGCTCAGTAAACAGATTGTGGCAACCGTCTGTTAAAACTATACCCAAATAACCTTCTAATCCTGTAAAACATCAACTTTAAACATAAAGAGAAGCATCGTCTGACGTGGTGATGGACTCAAAGAGATCACATTGCCATAAGCCATCGTTGGATGAGATGGATTAAAAATTGTTACTCATTCTGAAACACATGCTTGGATTCAGATCATGTTCTAAATCGAGCACGTATTTGTCTGCGTCTTACTGAACATAGGAAAGAAAACCCTTTAGAGTTCAACCTAATGATGAAAAAGACAAGAATATATTTCTGGACTAACTGGAGAAGGAGCTAGTTAATAGTCAAAATGATATCCACCACGAGGTAGCGTGGTATGATATCCAAAAATGCTGTGGAAACAACAGTGATATATACTAGTAACTTAAAACCAAAGGTTAGGAAAAATCAGTGGATTTTAGCGGTGTCTACAACACTAATGGATTCTCGGAAACTCACACCTGGCTCAAAACACGATGAGGAGCAGAAGCAACTTAAACGTAGCTTAGGTAACAATCTTGAGCAGTGGTTGGTAGTGGAAGCAGAAGAGATGAAAAAGGCGACAGCGAATGGTAACAGTAGACAACTGTTCAGAATTATCAATGAAACAGGTATTACAAGTAAAGCTGTTAGTGAAACTATCTTGGAAAAAGGTGGGACTATCATTCATTCTCAATCTAAGAGATTGAAATGATGAGCAAAACACTTTAGGGGATAATTCAATTGGCCTTCAGCCACACTTTAGTTATCCATTATCTCCAATCGACCTAAATGACAAACTGATGTAAGTCGTCCGACTCTTTGTGATGTTGTTAAGGCTATAAGTAGTCTAAAGCGTGAGAGAGCAGCTGTGTACGATGGACTAATTCCTAAAATTCACAAGATTGGTGGCCCAGTTTTAAATATTAGATTGACTGAAATCTTAGTCAGAGTCTGGTAGATGGAAATCATTCCATCTAACTGGTCTCGATCGCTGATCGTTCCAATCTATAAGAAAGCAAAATCCTCTTTTAACAACCACAGAAGAAACAGTTTAACTAATATAGTGTCTAAAATATTCGCCTCAGTAAAACTTCGACGTCTAACTAAGAATTATGAAGGGAAAACCCGAGAAAACTATTCTGGTTTCAGATCTGGACGTGGATGTATAGACCAAATATTCATTCTTCAGCCGATTTTGGAATATAGACGTACTTTTCGACGTCCGAGACTATTGTCGTATTCTTTGACCCTAAGGCGTGGTTCAACTCCATTAATCTCGAGGTTCTGTGGTTTCTGTCACTGGAAGGTGTACCAACGAAGCAGGTTAACTTTGTACAGACTCTACTCGTACACTACTGGTCGAGTCAGAGCTTGTGGCGAATATTCATCAAAACTGGTTACATCAATTGGTCTCCGTCAGGGTTGTCCACTCTCCCCATTTTTATTTAACTTTGTCATAAACATGCTTTTAGAGATAACAGTTTCATCGTCTGACTTATGGATTGATCTTATACCAGAGGATCCACTTGTTGACTTGGAATACGCAGATGATATAGTTATGTTTGAAGACGCTGAAAAATGCAGTATTCTGACTATCTTAAGCAACAATATTAGCATATTTGAGGTGCTATTTTCTCTGCAAATGTAAAATGTTACTTTAGAATTGGCTTGCGTCATTGCATGGATTAGTGATAGGTAGTGAAGTAGTTGAACACACCGACCGCTTCACTTATCTTGAGTCTCGTCGGTACTGACGGTTTGGTGTTTGACGAAATCTCGGCATAGATTAAGAAGACTGGACTGACTTTTATAAACTTGTCACTTATGTTGTAGACGAGATATCCGTCTCCAAATCAAAGAGCGAGTCTACTGCTCAGCAGTTTGGATGTGAAACATGGTCATTAAGAATAGAGGATATTCGTGAGTTGCTAGTATTCAATAATAGGTGTCTACGAAGCATTGCTAGTGTATTTTTGGATCCTGGAGTAAGCGATGCCTGGGTTAGGAATAGAGAGCTATATTAAGATGGTAAATCGACTGATGAGGTAGTAAATCTTCACCAAGTGAGGTGGTTGGGATGTGTTACATATCCCTAAACACTTCCTTCCACCGGTGGGCGTTGTCTTTTGGTGTAGGGTTAGGCTGTAAGGAAGCGAGGGACGACCAAAATAAAACATGGCATCAGTCGATGAAGTCACTGACAATTTGACTTGGTCATGTTAATAGATGTAGACCACCTGGTTGGGGTCTGTGTGATTATCGTTACCAATGATTAAATACTTTAAATGACGTGGTTCAAAATTGCTTGCAATGATGCAGGTTCATCTTTTCCTTATCAACCCCAAATTCTGGTATTCTAGATTCCTTATGATGTTTTCATTTCACTAACTTTTGTTTCCTTCCCGAATCCTAGCTTCGGTGCCTAATCATTTTAATCATCGCTGATAGTGCACCTACCTTTTCCACTATGGGATTTGGATTGACAATGTCATCTCTTTATGCTAATGGGATATAGCAACTCGAACCGATGTACATATGTACCTAGTTTTACGTTGTGACTGACTCACCGATTTAGTTATTGATCAAATGCTACTCTCCACCCTCATCTGAGTATCATTAATTTTTGTAATTCCCACTCAATCTATGACTTGATAACTGCGTTAGAATTTGTCGTACTGTATTTTTTAATCTGCCAAAATAGCTCAAACCATAACTTAATAGTGCACTATATAACAAATATATTTGTTGTGTTCGCACGAAGACGTTTGTGTCACTCATTAATGAGTAGGTGCATCCGTATGACCTTCCTGAATCAGCTGATTTAACGTTGAAAGCACTCACAACTTTTCATTGTTTTTTTGTCGCATAACACACAAAACTACAGAATGCAAACAAACGAACATATTAATAGTACCATTGAGACAGAAGACATTTCATTTATGGAGAGTGGAACGGATATTTTGGATTTCTTAAACACATCTGATACAGAGAATGAAGATGTAAAAGATATTATTGGAAATGAACCAGATAAAAGTACTGAAGAAGATCCATGCAATGAAGAAGCATCTTCCTTAACACTTTCCATTACAAATGTAGTTGTTATGGCTAGCCTTCAGTGTCATTTGCGATTGAAAGAAATAGCCAGGACTAGTGTTAATGTGGAATATAAAGCTCTTCAGAATGTAAGTTTAGACAATTTTTATTTCTTAGTTTTAGAATTTTATGTCTATTATTGATTTTGAAGGATAGATACTCCCAAATTCTTTTTAGCTTAGTTAAATTACACGGTAAATTAACTTGTTAGATTCTCACGAGTAGCTAAATGTCTTGATAATACGCTATTTAGGGTATCATCTCTATTCATTTTATTCAAATACTAGTCGCGAATCGACATAAGTTAAAATGCATAAGAACTAGGCAATGCCAAACAGTGTATACCACTTAAGTCTGCAGTTATATGTATAATTACATCTAACAACAACAACGGTACTATTTCCAAGTCAGTTAACGTTCTAGTATTTGAATTTGTGGAGATTTATTTTTGATATTATCATAACTAGAAGTTTAAATATCATTTATTTTATAGAAAGATTCGGTAGTTCTGTGAGTTTATGTTCTGGAATCACGATAATATGAAAAAAAACAGAAAAAAATATATTGACTACTTAAAAGTTCTCTTACTAACTCACTAGCGGAAATTAGTGTGCTTGGTTTCGAGCTACACTGTGTGATTGTTAACGATATCCGGTTGTCCAATCAAAAGTGAGTGAAGTAGGGCTCCAGCCTAGGATTTATTGGCTGAGTCGAACGCCTTAGTCATTGAACTACGGCTCCACGATTCGTAAATCGAACAAACTGTCTCCGAGTACTGTGTTGTGCTCCTCCAACTGCTGGCTTGCACGTGAACACCGGTTTTTAATCATTAACATGATATCTTTATGCAATTCCTAGTTTATAATCAGTAGTTTATTAATAGTAATAACAATAATGTAATTTACTTACTAAGTATGGGTATATGTATTAGGCTTTAATCAATACTATTTGTATAAAAGCTAATTATCCTGTCTAGCTGCTTCAATAAGTGTGACTAATTTTCATTATAATTTAAAAGCTGATCACTTAGGAAGTTTGATTTATTTATGGTTAAATAAGAGTAAAACATTGCCAGCCCTTGTATAATAAATTTATAGATATGCAATAGGCTTTATTTGTTGAGCCATATGATTAGATTCGGTTGCGTCGACTTTTTTTTCTGAGCACAGAATTTCGTATAATTATATGATATTCACTACCTGTTTCCAATATTTATCATATATTTCCAAACCTTTAGTATTGTCACAATTTTTTTTGGTTTCTCTTCATTTAATTAAAATAACTCATTGTATCATTGAATATTAATAAAGAGAATTCAGCGAAGATCTGCACAATTACATTTTTTGTTCAACCTGTTTACACGATACAATGAATGTGCATTCACGACTCTGAGTATATATCAATGTAAATAATCAGTAATACAGTCCTATTGCAACCATATATTGCTTAAATGAAGTTATATTAGACTACCTAGTTGAAGGCTTCTCTCCTAATGTGAATCTTGATATAATACCGAAAGATATTATTTTTTCAAGTCCATTGCCGTTTGTTGTATATCCGTTTTAAGTTCTCGATCTTTAAGAATTCAATAATATCGATATTTTTTATTCTGTTGATTTTCATAAATATATAGCATGTTATAATGCGTTTACGATCACCGTATACAGTAGCAACAATTTGGTCTAGCGGAAAAATTTGGTGTACCGGGGCTAATTCGTAAGCAATAACAGTCTCAGTAATTTTTCCATGCATTTATTTTTCCCCATATAGCTGTACCATATGTTTTATCATACCATACGTTTTATCAGTGTCCATAATGTACTATATCTGATCATTTCTGAACTATTGTTTCGTATCCACTCATTTCATTAAGCCATTTGAATTTGTTAACAACTATATTTGAATATCAAAGTTAAATCTTTTGTGGTTTTGACTAATTGATGTATAAATTTGTGTAATCAAGATGAATTAACTAATGTGGTATGCATGGTTGTTCGTTAGAAATTACACTTTATCTGTGTGCTTCCAAAAGTTGTACAAATTAGAAATTCATAAACTGTGTTAGTTATTCAATCTGTTGGTATTTACAATTAAAAAGATATATTTGTATTACTGCACAAATCATAAATATGATAGATATCTTACTTACATGTGATATATGACAAATGGAAGTATTTGTGTGGCAATAGCTCATAAGTTATATATTTAAGCATTCAAATGTAGAGTGGTGGATTAATGATTAAAACACTTAACTTCCAATGATAAATACCATGTCCAGACTCTGCTACATCTACTTTAGTTTGAACAGTCAGGAAGTATCGATAGTGTGGTTTATGATGTAGCACATAAGCCTGAACGTAGTAAGTTAAGTTACATTTATACATTAAAGGATTTAAATATATGTGTTACCCTCTTTCTTGTTTAGTGTTTGTTCGCCATTGTACGTCCATCGAACTAACGTTAATTTGAATAATAATAAGCTGAGATTAAGACGCACTCCAACAATGTACAGTTATAAAAACACAAGAAGAACAGTGAAAGTTAGTAGTCTGCTGCATTCGTTTATGCGACTGTAAAATTTTGAATTATCAGTTTATAATGAATAATACTTTTATGTATGTAGTTTGGTAGCTATGCTTTGGACAAGAACGACAATTTAATTAATTAAAGCGATGATACTTACTAGAACATATCTATCATATACTATTTGTTAATTCGATAAATCATGACTTTTGGTTTGAAAGCAGGCTGTGAAATGCCCAAGCTGTTTAACAGTCATAGTATTCACTCAGGTTTGTGCGAGCTTCCTCACTGGGATTCGTCAGATGTTAGATTGGTGTAACTACATATGTCGCCTATTTTATCCAAGTAATTATTTGTTATCTTTCATCTCCAACACAGCAGGTGTTATTCAAACTGTCAATCAGGGATTTCATGAGTTATCATCACATTGATTTGACCGATTTGTGATATCTTTTGTCATAATATTATCCTAATTAACACTAAATATATGAACTGCTGTTAATACTTGAGAGTTTTACAATATCATTCACTCGTTTACTTACGGTAGTAATACCAGTGTTAATAAGGAAGCATATTGTAATTTTTTATTTATCTGTTTATCAGTAATTAAACCGAAGTTATGTCGCAACTTTTTGTCTGGCATACCATGCAACTGCTAGATAGAACATTTATGCGGTTCATTGGATTTCATATTATATCCTTTCACCAGAAAATACTTAAGTTCAAGTTATGTCACAATAGTTATGCCACTAAACTTTAAATACCGAGGCTTAAGTTTGGATTCAGCCTCACTTTCTTCATTTCAAATACCCGGGTAATTTCTATGGTTTCCGTACTTTGAAGGTAGCTCAATGCAAGAACCTATACTGGATTAATGAGTCACGAAAGGAAATTAATTTTATTAATTGTAAAAATTTTTAAAGTATTCAAAAACAAGTCTTGCTTAATGATTTCTTATTGTTTTCTACATTTTCCATCTTCTCTTTATCATTTACAGGCTTGCAAAAGCGAAAATTGGCGCTAGGCGTATTGCTAGACGAATAGCGAAATGTGGATTTCCGTGTCATTTTAGTAAATATCGTGTAGTTAATATTATGGCTACTTGTAAATTACCATTCGGTGTCAGATTAGAAGAATTAGTCAAAGAACGACCGATGCAAATGAGGTATTTTTTGTAAAAAGATCTATATTTTGTTTTCGAAATCTTAATTATTTTTATGGTACATAAATTAGAGCATTTTTTTATTCATTGGTCGTTTTATAGTATAAGACATGTACTTGACACATGAAATTACTAGATCATATTTTAAGTCATTAAAGCTAATGACCACGTCAAGAACGTGATCTGTTGGATTCAATTATAATTTTTCGGCTTTTGATTTTTACGCGTCATCCACTTGTCCATGGAGTCAGTCATGGACTCTTCATTTCAGTTGTTTATTTTACAACTGTTTAGGATTTTAGTATCAAAGGGCATACTAATTTCACAGGTGTTAAAATGAAGTTTAGTGCTTTCATATTTTTATTAGTTATCTAACTTGGATTGGTTCTTGACCCTAAGAAAATTCAACAATCTCCACAACCTCTATACTAAAATCAAGTGTTGACAGAGTCAAAATGTATTTCAAATAGGACTTCCCACTGATCACCTTCGGGTTTCCAACACTGTTTACTTTGTTTCTGTTTGTCACAATCCTCTTGAAGTGAGTCATAGTCGAGATTAATCATGCAGGTCTAGGTGAAGATAGATCTATTCTAACGGTGGAGTGTTCAGTCAGTTTTTTAAACACTTTACTTTCAACTGGATTTGCATCTCGCTGAATTTATATAAGATTAACTATCGAATAATATTTATAGCACTCATACAACAAATATATCAAGGTCAAGCACACATGCACTCGATTGAAGATTTTAATATACAGCTATTTATTTTATTTATTTAAACACATAAATATTAGTACAAGGAAGCACCAGATAAATATGCGCCTCACAAATTTCATTCGATCACATTACCAAGCAGGAGGTTGGTTGTTTGCAATGTGAAATTAATGAAGTGATAATTCGTTTACTAAGGGAAGATAACTGTCTTATGAATAAATAAATAATTTACTTGATTGATAATTTGTAAGAGGACGGAGTTGAAGAAAATAAGAGGTGAAACGGAGATAATAATACGGGTGATATTTATTTATTTATTTGAACACAAATATTGTTATAAAGTGGCATCAGATCTATATGCGCCATACAAATCTCACTCGATTTGTGTGAGGGCTGTGATACTGCCCAGGTGCCCAGACTGAAGCAGGTGGTTTTCTTAGGGGGCCACACCCGGAGCCTTTGACCTGAATGTCTGATCCACAAGGCAGTGGAGCATCGTGAGGAGATGCAGTCCCATGGTAGCCGGTGACCAACGATTGATTTATACGCCATTTGTTCCCTCAGGATACTCGAGCCCATGTGCACCATTGGTTTGGAATCAGGGTTTTCCAACTCCCCTAGGTGAACTTTCCATGTCCACCAACCCGGTTAAAGCGCCGGACATTCGCTTTTCGTCCTCTCACTTTCGTAAACAACACCCCCACCACGAGAAGGCAGTGAGTAGGACTTCTCTGGCAGAGGCTATATATTCGCTGGCCATATGAGAGCATTTCGAGAGGGAGAGGTGACTCTCCCCACTATCGGCCGTACCAGGGCATTTGGGGGCATATACAACTATACATGTGTAAATCATCGCAGCCCTGGTGTGGCGAAGGGTGGGAAGAGTCCGCTCTTCCTCTCAAAATTATCATATAGCCCTGCATATATGGCCATTGCTCAGAGACGTTTACTCATTGCCTTCTAGCTGCGGGAATGTTTATGAAGTTGTGAAGATGAGCGAATGTCTGGCGCCTAAACGGGGTTGATTGGTACAGAGGATCCGCCTAGAGGATTTGGAAAGCCCTGATTCCAAACCAATAGTGCTTACGGACTCAAGAATCCTGAAGGAATAAATGGTGTATGAACTAATCGTTGGTCACCGGCTACTATGGGACTGCATCTTCTGACGTTGCTCCACTGTCTTGTGGATTAGATCTCTAAGTCAAAGGTTCGGGATGCGGCTTCCTAAGAAAACCACTTTCTTCGGTTTGAGCATCCGGTCGTATCCCAGCTCTCACAAAAATCGAATGATTTGTGTTGCGCGTATATATTTTGGTGCCCTATTTGTACCAATAAATAAAACTAGGGTAGGATTAAATCTAAACATCTCTGAATGCAGACAAACTAAGTCATGGGATCAGTTTATAAAGTTGGTAACTTTCGACCAGAACTTTACTGTTAGATGTGGACTATTTGTGTTGGTAGTGAATAGTAGTTGAGAGGTCTTGCGTGATGTGGCTCGGAGTCTGTCATACAGGGACGGATGCATTAATTCTTTATACTCTTATTGATTCCAGGTCTCAGTATCATTTCACAATTTCCATTCCGCGATGTAATTTCTTCTAGTCTATTTTTATATTAAGTCTTCCTTATTATCATCGAGACTACTGATATTATTTTAAAACCCTTGATCTCCGTTTAGTCAGTGTCGTTTCGACATGATGATGTGGCGTGATACCTTATGAAGATTCGTATTTGTGCTAGATCCGACGTTTATTTATTTGATTTAATTAAGGTTTGCTGGAACTCTTAAAGCACAACTATTTTATTACAATAATGTATTAGTGTTTTTGTGACTTGACTATGCAAGAGAGTATTGTATGGCAGGTTAATATTTCTATCCAGACGAGTCAGGGTGTTGCTCTTTCCGAAATTGCCTGAAGAAACTTGACTTTCAAGACATAGTGAATAAAGTAAGCTCAAAACTTATTTAGTCGATGAACCTCACAAGTAGTAGAACTTCAAATCAATAATTATCAGTCGTTAGATTACAACCCATGTTTTTTCTCATTATATATATATATATATATATATATATAGAGAGAGAGAGAGAGAGAACTACGCGTATTCGTTTTTTAACCAAAAACTCATTTATTCATAATTAAATGTCCATACTAAACAATATTGCATATATTTTCCAGTTAAAGATACGGTTCTTTTTACCATTATAAACTGTTTCTTTTTTCTTTTAATATTAGTTACGAACCTGAACTAGCTCCTGGTCTCACTTTTAAAACTGACATTAATTCAAGTACATCTCTAAAACTTTTTTCAACAGGACGAATAGTTATTATGGGTGAGTTTATTATCTCTATGGTGTTATTACTTTCCTAGTTTATTGCTTGATAATTATCTATTTCAAGCTCTGAAACTTTAAGTGATAGCATAAATCGTACCTTCTAAGCTGAATATTTAGTTAATTAATTATTATTACCATGTTCTATAGTAATTACTCTGACTTTTTCGACGTAATCGATTAGAGTTTTTGAGTATGAAGCAGGGGAAACTTCCTCATGATTTCAGGTGTACACTGTACAAGTACATAAAACCTATGTCAAACAAAGGTCTTTATTAATTGTTTCCAACTATTTAATATTTTTCGTGTGAATTCAACAGGAAAAATATGTGGCCATAACAAGTTTTTGTTGACTAAGTTATCTTCCAATCAACTTCCAAACATTTGAGTGAAATTCTCTTCTTGACTGGAAACCACAACTGTGGGTGGTTACGTAATCTATTTTCAATTATGTTCTTGTTTGTAGAGCTGTAGTTTAGTGATTGGAAACATTCAGCTTTTAACCGAGTTAGGTATCAAGTATTTAATTCATACTCTTATCTACTTCAGTTTTGTTAGCTGGGTAATATTACTAGCCAATTAAACCATAAGACAGAATACCTAAATTTGTTTTTACTAAATGAGTTACATCATTGACTATTTATAACATTAATTTATTTTTAGAGTACTATTTTGAAATTTCAACTGTATTTTATTTGTACGTACTCTTGCTTATACGTACATCATTTTCGCGCATATTTTTACATGTTACTGAAAGAAATACTGATATGCTCCAGCTAAGTCGATTTTCGCGGTAACGAACGAAGGCCAATGACACGATAGGCTAATCTAATCCGTTGTCCCAGGCCCCGTTAACTAGAGGAAGAAGTCCAAGGCGAAGTAGAGGAATATATATTCCGTAAGCAGCCGAGTACAAGCAAATTATAAGGGGAAAAAACTCAAATGTATATTTACAGCGATAATTTGTCCTTAGGAAGCATTACAAAATAGCACAAAAGCTACAACGGACCAATAGCATTTAAGATAATTTACATGTGGGAAATACGACTTAAAGGTAAAAAGAGCGCCTTTGACGCGAAAACAAGGAAATTAAAATTTTCAAAATAAAATTACGAAATTAAGCCATTTACCAAGTAAGTTCTGGGGATTTGATATCCCCAACAAATACCAATTATATGATATCTCAATGATGTTTCATCTTCCTCAATATTCTAAATAATTTAGAGAAGGACCTAAATAAAATCTAAATCGCTTACAGAAACAATGAATTTTTAATATCATATTTATCATTGCAGCAAGTAGGTTAACAAAGTAAGACTGCGAATGTCTACAAAACATAACTCATAGTACCTTGATGCTGATGATAGTTGTTAGCAATATATTTGTCTGAAGTCCTTTTGTTTAAAAAAGTCTTTGTTTTAATAGTCACTCAGAATTAATTCTTTTCTGTAAAAAAGTTTCGCAATTAAATCATTTACGCCTTTCTAACATCAGGTTCCAGTTTAGATTCAATCGGTTCATTAGTCGAAGAACTAGTTCCAATTGCTGCATTGCATCAAACAGATGAACCAGTTCCAGATGTTAATGATATACAAGAACGTGACGAAGCTCATGTAGTATTAAAAGCAGCACGATACATGAATATGTTGCCAAATAATGATGGTTTCAATGGATTAGTTTATGATATTGATGATGAATATGAAAATAGCGATGAAAGTGATTTTTATGAAGATGTAGGCGGTGTTGGTGGTGCTCGGCATAGTTTTTCTACAGATGATTCAACTGACAGCGGGGCTTCTATTGACAGTGGTGGTGTAAGCACTAAAGCAAAGCGTAGAATTAAAAAGAAAAGTCATTTATCTACTGTTATGGGTAATACCTTTTCCTCTGCATCTCAGTTGCGAAATTATGATTCATCGCGATCTGGTGGTCCGCTTCATTTATTAACTCCTAGAGAAGCTGCCAGTTTAGCCTTCTCTAAACGGGCAGCTGGAAATATTGAAGATGCTAAAGATTTAGTAGCAACAGCTGGAGAATTAAGACGTCAACGTGAAATGTTACTTCAAGGGACAACTCAAAATAGTATACGAACAGAAGCTCGTTCAAATTTTTCTCAAGGTGATCCTACATGGTCCCGTCAAGCTGTTGCTTCAGGATCAACAAAACGTGCTTGTGTGGTCACTTATTCCGGAACAGAGGATAGTGAATCACAAGATTTGTATAATACTGTTGAAGTACGTAGTCAAGGTTATACACAATCTAATGTTCCTTCAATTGAACAACAACAGCAGCAGCCACATGTTAAAATTGCTCATGCACCATCTTTGATGCCATTAAATTCAACAAATCCTCCGGTACAAGTTTCTACCGTAATGACTCCAATCAATACTGTTGCCAATCCCTTACAATATGTATTGATTAAACCTTCTACAAATATTGGTCAGACAGTTTACAACAATGTAATGCATACTGTTCAACCAACTATTAGTTATACTACAACACCATGTATTACACCTATACAAACAAATTCTATTGTACAATTGTCCTTACCATTATCAAGTAATGGTGTGGATGTTCAAAATTTAATAACAACAAGTGTCACATCACCTGCTGCCTCTGTTGCTACTACTAATACTACTGTTTATCCTATCCGTCTATCCAATAATATTCTGCCCAATTACATATCATCAGTAAATGATGGCAAGGTTAGTCTTAAATTTATTAAGTGTCCTTCCACTAATAATGATAATAATAATAGTAATCCGATCATAATCAAACTGCAATAACTATTTGAACTGGATTTCTTTTGTTTCAATGTATATCAGGCGGTTTTATGCTTGCTTAGCTTGTATATATATATATATATATGTGTGCGTATTGCCTTCGTTGTTTGTGCTTCCCTTTTTTATTTTCTTCTCTAGTGATTTCTATTTATTATATACGTATATCTGTTATGTATATCGTTAAAAGATAGACAATTAATAGTAATCGCTTATGGTTTTTTTTTATCTGTATGTCCTGTTAAGTGAATATTGAGAAATCAACAACTCATGACTACATCAATTTTTACAAATACACACCCTTTTTTGTGTATAGATGTGTTTGTATATGTGTATTTGTGCATGTACAATATCCCATTATTTGTTGTTTGGCATTAGTGATAAAAAACATGGTGTTGCATGTATTGAAAATAGCAATAACTTGTTTTTCTTCATATATTAAATTAAAATTTAGATTAATTTAGCTTTAATAATGCCCTATTACTTTTGACGACATTTATATGCATGTATTAATTTAGTTTGTTTTTTTCTTCTTTCATTTAAAAAGAACATTTCTACTATGTGTATAAGTGTGTAATTTCTCAATATGGTCATCACCCCCCCCATAGTTTTCACAATGCACTGATTGTGAAATACTCGTTTTTTTATTGTACAATATGTTTTATGAAACTGTCAAATGTATTTGTTCGGTTGTGTGTAGTTTCCTTTGACCCTATATCTGTATTTCAGTAATTTGTTCTTGTGAATTTGAATGAACCGTTAGATATATTTCATATCGTTTCTTTATATTTGAGTAACATGCTTGGTATATATATTTTTGTTTATTTATAATTATGCACATACATATATAGATTTATATACAGGTATATATATATACGTCAGTTTTTGTTTCGTTATTATCTAGAAGGGATTGCCAACGAGTATTTTGCATACACGCTCTGTATCTGTTAAGCAATAGAAAAATAGATGGGACGACAGTGAAAAACAATTCAATGTGTTACATCACATACTATAAGTTCATATCAAAATATTCTTCACAAGGCTATAAAATAGTTATTTTTGGGCTAATGAAACAACAGGTCTATAAAAAGTACACAGTTCGTAGGACAAATAAACGATGGATGTATGCGTAGCTTTATATTTGTTCATACAACTAAATGTTATCATGAGTAGTAGATTTTTCATTTCAATAGGAAAAATGATCTAAACTTTGATTTCCTGTTAGTATGCACTCATGAGCAACTTGTATACCTATCAAATTGATAAGAGCAATATGACATTAAGAAATTTCTTTATCGTTGAATTACTTCAATATTATTTGTTTCAAATACTGTCAAGTGTTTAAATCTGTTTTTTTATGTTCTCAGCTTTTATTTAGAGTTTTACACCATTTAAAACTTAATAAAGGCATTTCACTAATTATAAACATATTGGGATTCATGTACATGAACAATTAGTCAGTTTAACTGAATTCAAATAAAAACATCATATGTCATAATCAAATTGTACTGAGAAGAAAAGATTAGAAATAATAAATGAAGATTTGTTTACACTTGTTAAAGAACAGTTAAGCATAATGCTTAGTAAACACTTAACTACATTTTATGATCATTAAATCTTTGAGTAATGTATACGACCTTTTGTTATTCACAGAAAGTAAAAATTTGGTTCCATTTTAAAGTCTGAATATGAATGAGTAAACTACCTTGAAATTTATATCATTCACTAAATAATATTTCTAAAAGAATATTTAAAAAATTAGGCGTCTTATTACTGTAGACTCATAGCTTAAAAGATTAGATGTTAACCAATCAAACTGATTGATTAGTTTCATTCCACCTCACATGATTCTTCATGTTTAATGATTGGATAGTACTTCTCGAACTCCAGATACCTGTGCAACCCAATCCATAATAAATTTATTCGTCGTTATATTCATTATTTATATCTTCTGTCGTTCTCAAAGATTAAGTGTATTGTACAGTAAATATGAAAGTGAAAATGTCATTGATTTCTCTCAAGAGACTGTGTTTAGTTTCTACTTGTTTCCTAGGCGTTGTGAATTTTTTTCAAAGCATTTTCAATACCTATAATGATATTTTCGAAATATTTTTTGAGCACGATTCATATTACACATTCATTATTCGGTATACCACATCTTAATTAATGTGTCACTCTTGAAATTCTAATATAAATTAAAATCATTCTTCATCTCATAAAACTTATTTGTACTAGTTGTCTATTCAATGTTTATACTCTTGCTTAATTTCACTTGTTCAGTTACTGATTCACATTTTCATTAGGTTTGCTATGTACTTTTCTGTTATAATGGAGTACTTAAGTTTATTTTCCGCAAGTCTTCTATAGATTATCATTGTATAGAAGTAGGTTATTCTGTGAGATTTGATTTGTAAATAGTTTGCATTACGTTATTATTTATAATATAGCTATAGTTATTCTGCTTTATTTGAAACTTTTCCACTTGATTAGATGATGACCTTTGCTACTGGTACTCCTTCTAATACGTATACAAATCACTTAATAGGCTTTCCTAATACAACTCAAATATTTCCAAATGTTTATCAAGTTGATCCAAATTCAATTATACCTGGCCAAACTGCTCCACTTGTCTTTGGATCTTCTTTACTCACTTCATTTCAACCTACAAATAATGTTATACATCCTCAGATACATTTACCTGCCACAAGTGTTCTATGTGGTTCACCAAATATTTTTGTTGGAAATTTCTCTCCAGGTATTACTATAAAGACAGCACCTGTACAAACAGTTGGGAGTGTAACTTCAATTCCTTTCACTCCAACATTTTCTTACCAACAACCTGGAGGTTATAATTGATACCTAAAAATGCAGATATAGATATAATCATCCTTTTTTCTCTCCTCTGTCTTGCACACACGACAACAATAAATCTCATTGTACATAATACAACATATACTAGATTGTCTCATTGTGAGTATCTGCCAAAAAAATCCAATACAGTGCACCAATTATCCAGTATATTTCGTGATTTTTTTGCACACATAGAATTGTATCTAATACACACAATTCCTCTGTATACTTGATTTCATCATTTACAACATTTATTATGAAAAATAAATACTATTCCGAAAGAATTTGTAGATTGAGATGATGTTTTATTTTCTGAAATTTCTTTTAGTTGTTTCAATTATTCATGTTTGAGCAGTATTTTTTTTCACCATCGATGATACTATTTCTCTCATTGGTATCACGCTAATTAGACTATCATGATTGAGCCACTGTTGTTTTTTAATGAAAAAAGACTATGTATGCATTTATTGTTTATGCCACGTTTTTCCTGTTTGTTCGTTCTTTTTTGTAATTTTCATTTCATTCAAATTTAATATCTAACTTTTGTGTTACCTCATATTTCAAAAGTTAAGGCGAAACAAAGTCGAAAGCATATTTTTTTTTAGGTTTAAAAATCCATCCGTTCTTGCCGTAATATATATTGCTATATATGTTTGTACCTCGTGAGATACTTATTAAGTGGATAGTAGAAGTCAATCTTCTTTTTTTCCAAAATAGTTGTTTAGCTTTTGACGTTTCTGTAGAGTTGAAATGATCTATGATTTTTAGTTGAATTGAATTAAATGGGTCTGTTTCGTGGTTGTTTTGATATTGCTTCGACTTTGTTATTTGAAGTGAGATGATAGTTAAATTAGTTCTCTAGGTATATTTGTATATTTAGTCTTGATGAGTGTTAGGTAGCTGGACGTAGTCGACAGAAAACCCTAGGCTTAAGTTTCGTGTTACTTAGCACTCGTCAGCTTGGTGTACCTATAATCTTAAAGGAGCTTAAGCTACCTGGCTGATTCGGTTTCATTTCACCCAGCTTCACATTTTGATAGGTCACAGTTATTCAAGCTGCAACTGGTCTGTAGGACCGGTCCATGAGTAGAGACCATTGTCATGTCTGTTTAGTTCTTTATTGCTGATCGAATTCATTTTCTGCTTATCTATTAGAGTTTTGACACTCGTGTATTGTTGGAACTGTTTTATATACTTTCGAAATGCTTTGATGCGAAAGAACTATCATCCTGGTATTAAGTGTTATTAAGTTCAAATATGGAGTAAAATTCTGGAGAGTGCATTGTAAAAATGCAAACGCATCAACATACTAGGCATCTTACTTCAGTGAATACTTCCAAATGAAATAAGACTTTCGAAACTCATAACTTAACAACAAATTTCTGATGTGAAACTTTAGCATATACTGACAAATTCTAAAATATGAACTCCGGAAAGATGGTTTAGAGTTTGTATTATTTTATAGTTTTCCATACATTATTATGTTAGTTACACGTATTTGCTGTGTCCTCAACGTATTTGTTATACATTAACGTTTGACTTCATTCAATAAACAGGAATCTACATCTTAAGATGATAATGTAAAACTACCACCCTGTTTAAAAAACAAGTTGACTCAATCAATATATACCTCACTGTTCAGTAATTGCTTGTGTCCTATAAGATTAGCTGATCACTATACAATTTTCAATTGGTCATGTTACGGCATCCTGGAGAGTTTTCAGATTCTCACGTTCATCATGAACATTTATTGACATATGTCCTCCAAAATTTCCAGAATTCACGTCTTTAGTTAGCTATTATTAGACAATTGTGCTTGTAAGTATAATTAACAACTTCTACACACTTATACTTTAGAAAAAATATCTTAGTTGTAAATGGGATCAAGAACGTTATCGGTCTGTATATTTGGAAACACGCACTGTCACGGATGATTTGGGATATCTTATCTCCGTGATGCTTTATGCTTAGTTATTTATTTTATTCAAAACGTGTTTCGTATATATTGGTATTATTATATGCTCAGTGGTTATATACTTTCGTAAGCCTGAGGACAAACTGTTCTAGGTATAGGAATTTTTATGCGACCACCAGTAATTTGAAATGATTTTCACAGTTTTAGTTTTATGGACATTTTTTATTGGTCTATATAATTGAGTCTTGAGTTTGTCCTGAGGTATTGTACAATTAATGGTAAGCTCGTGTATAGATTCACATCCATTGAAAAGTTATCCTTCTAGTCCTAAAACCACATTTGAATTCTCTTCCTTCAGTAAACGTACTTTTTGAGTTTATCTAGCCGGACGCTGAAGTGATGTAATAATCTCAACTTGGAGGGTGTGTAAATAAAGTAGTATTACGAGAATACGTAACACAATAACAAGTTTTAGAAGCCTACATTGGTACTTGGAGTGTGCAAATTTGTGCATTCTTTCAAATAACTTTAACCACTTAGAAACTTTTATTATGGGTTTATTATTAACTCATATCAATATGTGTGTTCGTGGGTCAGTGGTAAATGAGAATTAAATTGTTTTGACTGCAAAAAAACAAGTATATTACAATGTATTTAATGACAGGACACAAAAGTGGTTTTCGGATTTTGCTTTAGAGATAGTCAACGACGTGTGAAATGGTCAAGTCTTAGGCGTGTTTCGAGTTAAATGATACTAATTAATAATTTGTAGACTTCGATTTCTGTAATGTAAGCTGGGTACGAGCGCTATAATTTTCATATACAAAGTTGATCGCTTTTTACTTGATAAAAATCGAATGCATCCGGTATTTCTGTGTATATATATTCAAAAGAACATAGGACTTTAGGTGACTTTTTCTGTAGTAATAGGGAGTAGTCTTGTCAGATCGTAGGATTTTCGTCTACTTCTTAGGTGTTACAAACCTAATTGTATTAATATTTGAAAATAATAATGCAATTATAACTTGCTCTTTAAAGTGTCAATCAATTCTGCCTGGCTTTACTACTTAGTAGTATTTTAACATTGAGTGTTCCTACAAATTGAAGTGCTAGTCTTATAATCTTTTTTTCTAAGGATCTAAACTGGTTTAGTATTACCGACGTAACTTAACAAACTGGCAGACAAGCAGCAATCCACTCTATGGGAAAAAGGCTGAAATGTCGTTTTCATTTGCATTTGTACATCTTTTTTATTCGTGTTGACATATGTGTTATGAGCAATGGTAAAGCCGAGATTACAAGATTATATTTTCATTTTGCTCTACTTTTTTGTCTTCCTGCTAGTTGTCACCTTTGTTGGCAGCGGTGTCCGCTTCATATGTTTTTTCTTGGAATATCTTTCCGATTTGTCATGGAGGTTTTGTAATATCTGGTCTGTAATGTGATATTAGTTGATAAAACACATCACCTGTTAAGTTAGGGTAGTACTGTTCAAAGTTATCAAGCATAGGTCGGATATTCATTTGTTGATCTGACTTGTCTCCTTATCGCTGAAAAGTTAACTATTATGTTTACCTTCAATGGCTACAAGAATGTAGACACCACCACCTTCAATACTTTGGACAGTTTGTTGGTAATTTTGTGAATCATTTAATCCTAAAAGCCTTCCTGAAGTGTCACATAAGTCAAATGTGACTTTTTCGTAAATGCTCGTTAAATAGACACATACTTTCAGGGTCTATGTCGCAAACAGTAACGATATAGTTGAATAGAATTTCAAAGGAACACCACATATTTACTATTACTTTCTTGTTTTCTACAAAACGATGTTAGTACTACATTTGCTGTATTACCTCCAAACCTGATCCATATGAATGATCTACTAGTTGATGACATACTTATCTTTCTGACAAACTGACAACAACTAGTTCGACCTGTTCGTGGGTAAGATAATTTATATTGTTCAATACTCGATATCTTTGTCACAAGCTTGTGTAAACTGATTGTTTTCTTCGCGCTCACTTCCTCTTGTTTCGGTACGATCTCAGATATTTGGTAATGTCCAATGAGTAGTAGTCCAACCACTTGACTAAACTAACTCCTCAGTTTGGTATTTACTTGAGAAGTTGTATATCTTGCAGATTGGGTGAGTGCGTTTGTCCCAGGGCAGTAGAATTTCTGATTACCAGCAGCTATCACATTACCAAGCAGGAGGTTGGTTGTTTGCAATGTGAAATTAATGAAGTGATAATTCGTTTACTAAGGGAAGATAACTGTCTTATGAATAAATAAATAATTTACTTGATTGATAATTTGTAAGAGGACGGAGTTGAAGAAAATAAGAGGTGAAACGGAGATAATAATACGGGTGATATTTATTTATTTATTTGAACACAAATATTGTTATAAAGTGGCATCAGATCTATATGCGCCATACAAATCTCACTCGATTTGTGTGAGGGCTGTGATACTGCCCAGGTGCCCAGACTGAAGCAGGTGGTTTTCTTAGGGGGCCACACCCGGAGCCTTTGACCTGAATGTCTGATCCACAAGGCAGTGGAGCATCGTGAGGAGATGCAGTCCCATGGTAGCCGGTGACCAACGATTGATTTATACGCCATTTGTTCCCTCAGGATACTCGAGCCCATGTGCACCATTGGTTTGGAATCAGGGTTTCTCAACTCCCCTAGGTGGATCCTTCGTTAAGGCGTCGGTCATTCGCTTTTCGTTTCCTCAATTCCGTAAACAACACCCCTGATGCGAGAAGGCAGTGAGTAGGACTTCACTGACACAGGCTATATGCGCGTGGCCATGTGAGAGCATTTGGAGCGGGAAAGCGGACTTTCTCACTCTCGGCCATATCAAGGCATTTGGGGGCTAGGAAGTAGATACTGATATTTTGTAATTATAACCTCATTCGTTTATGAAGCATGCATTAGACTTAGCTGGTTCGAGATGGAGATGGTTATCCATAAGTGAGTACCTATTTGTCAAGTCTTGTCTTAAAGCTACTCAGTAATGGGACTGTCGTCACTTAATCTGAGAGAGCATTTCGAATGGACAACCCTTTAACGACAAAACTAAGCGCGTACCTCGGTGTTCATTCTTTGATGTGCAATCTTTCGGTAGCTGCCTGGAGGAGCGTAATGATGAAGTTCTGGTAATATGTTCCTTTTGGGATGGCTCAGTGCCCTTAAGATTTTGTATGACCTTATCAGTCTTCAGTAATAAGGATAGTAGGTTGATAAACCTTTTTTAATCCTGACAGAGTTCCTTCCAGTGAAGGTCCAGCTTCTTCTTGAAAATGTTCACTGATGGTGCTGATACCACTTGATTTGGTAAAGCGTTCCAGTCAAGTCACCTCTTGTTCTCCTGTAGCTCATAGAGAATATTTACTAGTGTTGGAGTCTGCTCTGATATAATTTATGTTTTAACCCTATCAATAACTTGATTTCTGGTCTCTGTGCTAGATCTAAGAGACTTTTATCTCTTTTAAAGAGAGGGGGCTCAACGACATTCTGTACGTTAAGGTGGGACCGAGCATATGTTGCAAACGGTTTTATTAAAGCCTCTGTAATAATTGCGTCAATTTGTCTTCGCATAAGGTTGCGAGTTGCGTTTCACTTTATTGAGTATCGCATTTTCTGTGAGTTTGTGCCTAGACTCACTTTTGTTGCAAGCTCGTGATCACATCCTGAAGAGATGTTCCGCTTACGATCAGGAACCTTTATTATGTCGAAAGTATTTCTGCAATGATCTGATACTACCAAGCTGACTTACTGAGGCTCTCTCCTTGATACTAACTGGTTATGCCAGATTCTTGTATGTCACTCTTTATTATCCTTTAGAAACAGTCTTTGTAGCTGATAGCATAAATTAGATTTACTGCTGA